GGAGGAGAGAGGAGGTCAGGACTGAGGAGAGAGGAGGAGAGAGGAGGTCAGGACTGAGGAGAGAGGGGGAGAGAGGAGGTCAGGACTGAGGAGAGAGGAGGAGAGAGAGGAGGTCAGGACTGAGGAGAGAGGAGGAGGAGAGAGGGAGGTCAGGACTGAGGAGAGAGGAGGAGAGAGGAGGTCAGGACTGAGGACAGAGGGGGAGAGAGAGGAGGTCAGGACTGAGGAGAGAGGAGGTCAGGACAGGACTGAGGAGAGAGGAGGAGAGAGGAGGTCAGGTCAAGACTGAGGAGAGAGGAGGTCAGGACTGAGGAGAGAGGAGGTCAGGTCAAGACTGAGGAAGGAGGAGAGAGGAGGTCAGGACTGAGGAGAGAGGGAGGAGAGAGAGGAGGTCAGGACTGAGGAGAGAGGAGGAGAGAGGAGGTCAGGACTGAGGAGAGAGGGGGAGAGAGAGGAGGTCAGGACTGAGGAGAGAGTAGGAGAGAGGAGGTCAGGACTGAGGAGAGAGGAGAGAGGAGGTCAGGACTGAGGAGAGAGGAGGAGAGAGGAGGTCAGGACTGAGGAGAGAGGAGGAGAGAGGAGGTCAGGTCTGAGACTGAGGAGAGAGGAGGTCAGGACTGAGGAGAGAGGAGGAGAGAGGAGGTCAGGACTGAGGAGAGAGGAGGAGAGAGGAGGTCAGGACTGAGGAGAGAGGAGGAGAGAGGAGGTCAGGACTGAGGAGAGAGGAGGAGAGAGGAGGTCAGGACTGAGGAGAGAGGAGGAGAGAGGAGGTCAGGTCAGACTGAGGAGAGAGGAGGAGAGAGGAGGTCAGGTCAAGACTGAGGAGAGAGGAGGTCAGGACTGAGGAGAGAGGAGGTCAGGACTGAGGAGAGAGGAGGAGAGAGGAGGTCAGGACTGAGGAGAGAGGAGGAGAGAGGAGGTCAGGACTGAGGAGAGAGGGGGAGAGAGGAGGTCAGGACTGAGGAGAGAGGAGGTGAGAGGAGGTCAGGTCAAGACTGAGGAGAGAGTAGGAGAGAGGAGGTCAGGACAGGACTGAGGAGAGGAGGAGAGAGAGGTCAGGTCAGGACTGAGGAGAGAGGAGGAGAGAGGAGGTCAGGACAGGACTGAGAGAGGAGGAGAGAGGAGGTCAGGTCAGGACTGAGGAGAGAGGAGGAGAGAGGAGGTCGAGGTCAAGACTGAGGAGAGAGGAGGAGAGAGGAGGTCAGGACTGAGGAGAGAGGAGGAGAGAGAGGAGGTCAGGTCAAGACTGAGGAGAGAGGAGGTCAGGACTGAGGAGAGAGGAGGAGAGAGGAGGTCAAGGACTGAGGAGAGAGGAGGAGAGAGGAGGTCAGGACTGAGGAGAGAGAGGAGAGAGGAGGTCAGGTCAAGACTGAGGAGAGAGGGAGAGAGAGGAGGTCAGGACTGAGGAGAGAGTAGAGAAGAGAGAGATCAGGAGAGGAGAGAGGAGAGGAAGGACTGAGGAGAGAGGAGGTCAGAGAGACCAGAGAGAGAGAGAGAGAGACCAGAGAGAGACAGAGACTGAGACCAGAGAGGGAGAGAGAGGAGGTCAGACTGACGAGAGAGAGGAGAGAGAGAGAGACAGGAGAGACTGAGGAGAGAGAGAGGTCAGAGAGAGACCAGAGAGAGAGTAGAGAGAGAGACCAGAGAGAGACCAGAGGAGAGACCAGAGGAGAGAGAGACCAGAGAGAGGACAGTCAGAGAGAGGAGAGAGACCAGAGAGAGACCAGAGAGGACAGAGAGAGAGAGAGAAAGGAGGTCAGAGAGACTGAGGAGACCAGAGAGAGACCAGAGAGAGACCAGAGAGAGAGACCAGAGAGAGACCAGAGAGAGAGACCAGAGAGAGACCAGAGAGACCAGAGAGAGACCAGAGAGAGACCAGAGAGAGAGACCAGAGAGAGAGACCAGAGAGAGACCAGAGAGACCAGAGAGAGACCAGAGAGAGACCAGAGAGACCAGAGAGAGACCAGAGAGAGACCAGAGAGACCAGAGAGACCGAGACCAGAGAGAGACCAGAGAGAGACCAGAGAGAGACCAGAGAGAGAGACCAGAGAGAGACCAGAGAGAGAGAGAACCAGAGAGAGACCAGAGAGAGACCAGAGAGAGACCAGAGAGAGAGACCAGAGAGAGACCAGAGAGAGACCAGAGAGAGAGACCAGAGAGAGAGACCAGAGAGAAACCAGAGAGACCAGAGAGAGACCAGAGAGAGACCAGAGAGACCAGAGAGAGAGACCAGAGAGAGACCAGAGAGAGACCAGAGAGAGAGACCAGAGAGAGACCAGAGAGAGACCAGAGAGAGACCAGAGAGAAACCAGAGAGACCAGAGAGAAACCAGAGAGACCAGAGAGAAACCAGAGAGACCAGAGAGAAACCAGAGAGACCAGAGAGAGACCAGAGAGAGACCAGAGAGAGACCGGAGAGAGACCAGAGACCAGAGAGAGGGAGATCAGCCAGAGAAAGACCAGAGAGAGACCAGAGAGAGACCAGAGAGAGACCAGAGGGAAACCAGAGAGACCAGAGAGAAACCAGAGAGACCAGAGAGAAACCAGAGAGACCAGAGAGAGACCAGAGAGAGACCAGAGAGAGACCAGAGAGAGACCAGAGAGAGACCAGAGAGAAAGACCAGAGAGAGACCAGAGGGAAACCAGAGAGACCAGAGAGAAACCAGAGAGAGACCAGAGAGAGACCAGAGAGAGACCAGAGAGAGACCAGACAGAGAGAGAGACCAGAGAGAGAGAGAGACCAGAGAGAGACCAGAGAGAGACCAGAGAGTGAGACCAGAGAGAGAGAGACCAGAGAGAGAGAGAGACCAGAGAGAGACCAGAGAGAGAGAGAGACCAGAGGGATCAGTGTAATTAAATAGAGCTTGACAGAGAACATGTCCTAGAGAGTAAATAGTTTGAAGAGTTTAGAGACAGAAGGGTGGGGCTCTTGGTGGTGTGGGGTCAGAGGTCACTCACTGAACCGGGGGGAAGCTGCTCTCGCTGCGGTGGCTCTGAGGACTACGGTCTCCATAGTGACTGGAGGCGGCGCCCCCTGGTGGCAGATCCCAGTACGGCAGGTGTCCCGGGTCTGGGGACCACAGAGAAACACCAGCTGGTCTCAGGGAAGGCCTCTGATTGGTCAGGTTTCTCCCACTGGGTTTGAGGAGTTCCTCTGATGCAGGAGTCTGTGAGACTGTAAGGACTGTGGTCCCTCCCTATGGTCCAATACCATGTGGTCTCTCCCTATGGTCCAATACCATGTGGTCTCTCCCTATGGCACAATAACATGTGGTCTCTCCCTATGGTCCAATACCATGTGGTCTCTCCCTATGGCCCAATACCATGTGGTCTCTCCCTATGGACCAATACCATGTGGTCTCTCCCTATGGTCCAATACCATGTGGTCTCTCCCTATGGCCCAATACCAGGCTGTCAGGCTTGAACTCTCTGACCCGGCTTGGATCTGCCCCTGTGTACGGGGTTTGAGGGCGCCGCAATTCGGTTTAATTGGATTTAATAGAATATCTGCCTGACATTGCATTTAATATTGTCCCCCTGAGGCGATGTGTTTCTCCTGCTGTGTCTTCTCTCCACTCTTATCTCACATTCCTCGGCCAAGGCCATAATAACAAAAAGGTCCCATCTACAACAATCTCACTATTCAGTCTCCAGCTCGGATCCCGTCTCCCCCACCTCCCTCTCTATCCATCTTGCTCCCTCCCTCCCCTCCACTCCTCACTGTGTTTCCGACTCACCCCCCTCCCTGACCCCGCCCCCCTCTGACAGCCACATTGGGCCGGCTGTAGGAGGTGCTTCATCCCGAGAAAAAATCCGTGCTTTATACAAGGCACAATGTGTCTATCCAACTGTCTGTGAAACTGTATGTTATTGCTCTCTGCTGTTTATTCTACTGTTTGTCGCATGGCGCCGTAAAGATGGCGCCGTGGCAAGAGCTCTGGTGTGTGTCGTCTCCTCTGTCTGGTGCACACCGGGGTAGTCTTGCACAGTTTTTCCAATGTGGTTTTACTGCAAATGGCAAATAAATGAATCTGAATCTGAATCTACCATGTGGTCTCTCCCTATGGTCCAATACCATGTGGTCTCTCCCTATGGCCCAATACCATGTGGTCTCTCCCTATGGCCCAATACCATGTGGTCTCTCCCTATGGCCCAATACCATGTGGTCTCTCCCTATGGCCCAATACCATGTGGTCTCTCCCTATGGACCAATACCATGTGGTCTCTCCCTATGGTCCAATACCATGTGGTCTCTCCCTATGGCCCAATACCATGTGGTCTCTCCCTATGGTCCAATACCATGTGGTCTCTCCCTATGGCCCAATACCATGTGGTCTCTCCCTATGGCCCAATACCATGTGGTCTCTCCCTATGGCCCAATACCATGTGGTCTCTCCCTATGGCCCAATACCATGTGTTCTCTCCCTATGGTCCAATACCATGTGGTCTCTCCCTATGGCCCAATACCATGTGGTCTCTCCTTATGGCCCAATACCATGTGGTCTCTCCCTATGGTCCAATACCATGTGTTCTCTCCCTATGGACCAATACCATGTGGTCTCTCCCTATGGTCCAATACCATGTGGTCTCTCCCTATGGCCCAATACCATGTGGTCTCTCCCTATGGACCAATACCATGTGGTCTCTCTCTATGGACCAATACCATGTGGTCTCTCCCTATGGACCAATACCATGTGTTCTCTCCCTATGGTCCAATACCATGTGGTCTCTCTCTATGGACCAATACCATGTGGTCTCTCCCTATGGCCCAATACCATGTGGTCTCTCCCTATGGCCCAATACCATGTGGTCTCTCCCTATGGACCAATACCATGTGGTCTCTCTCTATGGACCAATACCATGTGGTCTCTCTCTATGGACCAATACCATGTGGTCTCTCCCTATGGACCAATACCATGTGGTCTCTCCCTATGGACCAATACCATGTGGTCTCTCTCTATGGACCAATACCATGTGGTCTCTCCCTATGGTACAATCCCATGTGGTCTCTCTAAATGGTCCACTACCATGTGTTCTAGAGCCCTGCACGGGCCTATTATCTGGGCCCGAGCCCGGCCCTGGCCCGAGGGGGTGGCGCCCCAGCCCAGCCCGGCCCGATATGGTTTCTGAATTTTCAGGCCCGAAACCCGCATCAAGCCCGACTTTTTTTTTTTTTTTTGTAACCTCCCATATCAATGTTTTAGCGTAGTATATAGTGCCGCGCACTGATATGAACGCAGACTTAGCTAGAGGGCGGAGTTATACATGGTACTGATGTGTTGCAATGAGTTCTGTGTGTGCGGAGTGGTGCAGAGTGAACGGCCGCAGCTGTATGATACACAGCTGTATGATACACAGCTGTATGATGCCCAGCTGAATGATACACAGCTGTATGATGCCCAGCTGAATGATACACAGCTGTATGATACACAGCTGTATGATACACAGCTGTATGATACACAGCTGTATGATACACAGATGCTGCAACACACCTGTAAGTAATGCTATGTGCTTTGACAACACTACACAGAACAACAAACACTACGTGATAGAACGCTATATTCAGTGGGTGCGTTTGTAAATGTATTCTGCCGCTCTAAAAAGAGCCCGAGCCCGGCCCGTGTCCGAGGTCATTATGCGGTCATCGGCCCGAAGCCCGGCCCTCGGGCTGTCGGGGCCCTCGGGCCAAGGGCTCAAGTGCAGGGCTCTAATGTGTTCTATATTTGTTGTGTCTGAACTGTTGATTCTCTGGTGTGGGCGATACAAGAACACAAACAGACTAAACCACTGTGGGCGGCACAGTGGCTGAGTGGTTAGCATTCTCACTTCACAGCAAGAAGCTCCCGGTCGGAACAGGGCCTGAGTGGCGTTTGCAAGTTCTCGACCTGCCTGCGTAGGTTTCCTCCGGGTACTCCGGTTTCCTCCGGGTGCTCTGGTTTCCCCTAGCACTAGTAACATGTATAAAAGGTGAAAATGCTCCGGCCACAGGATGGTCAAATGCAGAGAGCACCTTTCCCTGTGGAACAACTTAAGCTATACCCGATTTATTTTCTAAGGAGTTCATAAAAATGCTTATTACTACAAACAAGTTGTATCAAAATCTATAATTTAATGGAAAACTTGAGCTCATTGATTCAGCTGTGTATGAATTCAGGCCGTAAAAAGTGCTGAGTAGAGACTTAGCGTGACGCTAGCTCTCAGAACGAGGAGCGGCGCTGTTACGAACAGGCTACTTACTCTAGGCCACGCCTCCTCTAGGCCACGCCTAGGGCGTGTGCGGCTGCAGAGACTCACAGTAGGCGTGTGCGGCTGCAGAGACTCACAGTAGGGCGTGTGCGGCTGCAGTGACTCACAGTAGGGCGTGTGCGGCTGCAGAGACTCACAGTAGGGCGTGTGCGGCTGCAGAGACTCACAGTAGGGCGTGTGCGGCTGCAGAGACTCACAGTAGGGCGTGTGCGGCTGCAGTGACTCACAGTAGGGCGTGTGTGGCTGCAGAGACTCACAGTAGGGCGTGTGCGGCTGCAGAGACTCACAGTAGGGCGTGTGCGGCTGCAGTGTGCGGCTGCAGAGACTCACAGTAGGGCGTGTGCGGCTGCAGTGACTCACAGTAGGGCGTGTGCGGCTGCAGAGACTCACAGTAGGGCGTGTGCGGCTGCAGAGACTCACAGTAGGGCGTGTGTGGCTGCAGAGACTCACAGTAGGGCGTGTGCGGCTGCAGTGACTCACAGTAGGGCGTGTGCGGCTGCAGAGACTCACAGTAGGGCGTGTGCGGCTGCAGTGACTCACAGTAGGGCGTGTGCGGCTGCAGTGACTCACAGTAGGGCGTGTGCGGCTGCAGTGACTCACAGTAGGGCGTGTGCGGCTGCAGTGACTCACAGTAGGGCGTGTGCGGCTGCAGTGACTCACAGTAGGGCGTGTGCGGCTGCAGTGACTCACAGTAGGGCGTGTGCGGCTGCAGAGACTCACAGTAGGGCGTGTGCGGCTGCAGTGACTCACAGTAGGGCGTGTGCGGATGCAAGGTCCTGCTGTAGTAGTGATGATGATGAGGAGGACCGGTGTAGACCTCAGGCACAGAGGGAGGAAGCAGCTGGATCCTTCAGAACAACAGATCACAGTTCTATCATCTGGAGCAGGACCTGAGTCTGACCAGCAGGGGGAGACACTGTACACTGGAGCAGGACCTGAGTCTGACCAGCAGGGGGAGACACTGTGCACTGGAGCAGGACCTGAGTCTGACCAGCAGGGGGAGACACTGTGCACTGGAGCAGGACCTGAGTCTGACCAGCAGGGGGAGACACTGTGCACTGGAGCAGGACCTGAGTCTGACCAGCAGGGGGTGACACTGTGCACTGGAGCAGGACCTGAGTCTGACCAGCAGGGGGTGACACTGTGCACTGGAGCAGGACCTGAGTCTGACCAGCAGGGGGAGACACTGTGCACTGGAGCAGGACCTGAGTCTGACCAGCAGGGGGAGACACTGTGCACTGGAGCAGGACCTGAGTCTGACCAGCAGGGGGTGACACTGTACACTGGAGCAGGACCTGAGTCTGACCAGCAGGGGGAGACACTGTGCACTGGAGCAGGACCTGAGTCTGACCAGCAGGGGGTGACACTGTACACTGGAGCAGGACCTGAGTCTGACCAGCAGGGGGTGACACTGTACACTGGAGCAGGACCTGAGTCTGACCAGCAGGGGGAGACACTGTGCACTGGAGCAGGACCTGAGTCTGACCAGCAGGGGGAGACACTGTACACTGGAGCAGGACCTGAGTCTGACCAGCAGGGGGAGACACTGTACACTGGAGCAGGACCTGAGTCTGACCAGCAGGGGGAGACACTGTACACTGGAGCAGGACCTGAGTCTGACCAGCAGGGGGAGACACTGTGCACTGGAGCAGGACCTGAGTCTGACCAGCAGGGGGAGACACTGTGCACTGGAGCAGGACCTGAGTCTGACCAGCAGGGGGAGACACTGTGCACTGGAGCAGGACTTGAGTCTGACCAGCAGGGGGTGACACTGTGCACTGGAGCAGGACCTGAGTCTGACCAGCAGGGGGAGACACTGTGCACTGGAGCAGGACTTGAGTCTGACCAGCAGGGGGTGACACTGTACACTGGAGCAGGACCTGAGTCTGACCAGCAGGGGGTGACACTGTGCACTGGAGCAGGACCTGAGTCTGACCAGCAGGGGGTGACACTGTGCACTGGAGCAGGACCTGAGTCTGACCAGCAGGGGGTGACACTGTGCACTGGAGCAGGACCTGAGTCTGACCAGCAGGGGGAGACACTGTGCACTGGAGCAGGACCTGAGTCTGACCAGCAGGGGGTGACACTGTACACTGGAGCAGGACCTGAGTCTGACCAGCAGGGGGAGACACTGTGCACTGGAGCAGGACCTGAGTCTGACCAGCAGGGGGAGACACTGTGCACTGGAGCAGGACCTGAGTCTGACCAGCAGGGGGTGACACTGTGCACTGGAGCAGGACCTGAGTCTGACCAGCAGGGGGAGACACTGTGCACTGGAGCAGGACCTGAGTCTGACCAGCAGGGGGAGACACTGTACACTGGAGCAGGACCTGAGTCTGACCAGCAGGGGGTGACACTGTGCACTGGAGCAGGACCTGAGTCTGACCAGCAGGGGGTGACACTGTACACTGGAGCAGGACCTGAGTCTGACCAGCAGGGGGAGACACTGTACACTGGAGCAGGACCTGAGTCTGACCAGCAGGGGGAGACACTGTGCACTGGAGCAGGACTTGAGTCTGACCAGCAGGGGGTGACACTGTGCACTGGAGCAGGACCTGAGTCTGACCAGCAGGGGGTGACACTGTGCACTGGAGCAGGACCTGAGTCTGACCAGCAGGGGGAGACACTGTACACTGGACAGGACCTGAGTCTGACCAGCAGGGGGTGACACTGTGCACTGGAGCAGGACCTGAGTCTGACCAGCAGGGGGAGACACTGTGCACTGGAGCAGGACCTGAGTGTGACTTGCCTGGGTGGGTTTGAGGGGTACAGAGCTGGGTTCTGGTTCCCCTGGTACAGGGCAGAGCTGTAGTCCAGGACAGGGCTCTGGAAGGCCACAGGGGGGCGCTGAGGAGCAGGAACAGCCTTGTCCACAGGAGCCAAAGGAAAGTCTGTCTCCACGGCAACGTCTTTGTATCGCTGCTGACGCTGATGTCGCTGCTGACAGAGGGACAGGACACACAGATAATGACAGTGCCTCAGTCTCTGCCTCAGTCTCTGCCTCAGTCTCTGCTTCAGTCTCTGCCTCAGTCTCTGCCTCAGTCTCTGCCTCAGTCTCTGCTTCAGTCTCTGCCTCAGTCTCTGCCTCAGTCTCTGCCTCAGTCTCTGCCTCAGTCTCTGCCTCAGTCTCTGCCTCAGTCTCTGCCTCAGTCTCTGCCTCAGTCTCTGCCTCAGTCTCTGCCTCAGTCTCTGCCTCAGTCTCTGCCTCAGTCTCTGCCTCAGTCTCTGCCTCAGTCTCTGCCTCAGTCTCTGCCTCAGTCTCTGCCTCAGTCTCTGCCTCAGTCTCTGCCTCAGTCTCTGCCTCAGTCTCTGCCTCAGTCTATGCCTCAGTCTCTGCCTCAGTCTCTGCCTCAGTCTCTGCCTCAGTCTCTGCTTCAGTCTCTGCCTCAGTCTCTGCCTCAGTCTCTGCCTCAGTCTCTGCCTCAGTCTCTGCCTCAGTCTATGCCTCAGTCTCTGCCTCAGTCTATGCCTCAGTCTCTGCCTCAGTCTCTGCCTCAGTCTCTGCCTCAGTCTCTGCCTCAGTCTCTGCCTCAGTCTCTGCCTCAGTCTATGCCTCAGTCTCTGCCTCAGTCTCTGCCTCAGTCTCTGCCTCAGTCTATGCCTCAGTCTCTGCCTCAGTCTCTGCCTCAGTCTCTGCCTCAGTCTATGCCTCAGTCTCTGCCTCAGTCTCTGCCTCAGTCTCTGTCTCTGCCTCAGTCTCTGCCTCAGTCTCTGTCTCTGCCCTCAGTCTCTGCCTCAGTCTCTGTCTCTGCCCTCAGTCTCTGCCTCAGTCTCTGCCCTCAGTCTCTGCTTCTGGACAATGCTAAGAACGCTAGCATTGTCCAGAACATGCTAGCTCAATGAAGGTCAACAGAGAAGTGCTCATGGTGAAGTTTGGCTCCTAGCATATGATGCTAACGTTCCAGCGGCTGTGGATACAACACTGACATTTCCCACTGGTCTGAGTGGATCCTCCTCTGGTGTCTGCAGCTGCAGCTCCCGCTCTCTGTAACACACACAGTTATGGTTTCTCCTCCTTCACACGTTCACACGTTGCCATGGTGACAGCACCTCCTCTTGCTCCGGTCCTTCTCCGCCATCTGCTCCTGGAGGTCTCTCCTGTATCGCTCCTTCTTCTTCTGCAGCACCTCCTCCGTGAGAGCGGCTCCTGCTCCAGAGGAATGAGTTTATGAAACAGAACTTAACAAGAGCACTTTCAGAGCTTTTTATGTGGAAGTGAAATGACTCATCGCTTTGCAACTTTGTCTGCGTCAATTTATGAAATAAAAATGGTGAAAATATAAACCTTTTGGGGAATTCTCCGAATTCCTTTGTTTTTAATGGGAGCAGTCAAAATGACTGCTTTGGGAGTTTGGGTGTTAAACACTCACCGATGATGAGGCCCGTGCAGACCTCCTCTGGGGACCTCCTCACTGCTGCTTTAGAGCGACGGCCAAACAGCACCTCCCTCCTGAGACATCAGGGACATCAGGAAGACATCAGGGACATCAGGAAGACATCAGGGACATCAGAGAGACATCAGAGAGACATCAGGAAGACATCAGAGAGACATCAGAGAGACATCAGGAAGACATCAGAGAGACATCAGGAAGACATTAGAGAGACATCAGGAAGACATCAGAGAGACATCAGGAAGACATCAGGAAGACATCAGAGAGACATCAGGAAGACATCAGAGAGACATCAGGAAGACATCAGGGACATCAGAGAGACATCAGGAAGACATCAGAGAGACATCAGGAAGACATCAGGAAGACATCAGAGAGACATCAGGAAGACATCAGAGAGACATCAGAGAGACATCAGGAAGACATCAGGGACATCAGAGAGACATCAGGAAGACATCAGAGAGACATCAGGAAGACATCAGGGACATCAGAGAGACATCAGGAAGACATCAGAGAGACATCAGGAAGACATCAGGGACATCAGAGAGACATCAGGAAGACATCAGAGAGACATCAGGAAGACATCAGAGAGACATCAGGAAGACATCAGAGAGACATCAGGAAGACATCAGGAAGACATCAGAGAGACATCAGGAAGACATCAGAGAGACATCAGGAAGACATCAGGAAGACATCAGAGAGACATCAGAGAGACATCAGGAAGACATCAGGAAGACATCAGGAAGACATCAGAGAGACATCAGGAAGACATCAGGAAGACATCAGAGAGACATCAGAGAGACATCAGAGAGACATCAGAGAGACATCAGGAAGACATCAGAGAGACATCAGAGACATCAGAGAGACATCAGGAAGACATCAGAGAGACATCAGGAAGACATCAGAGAGACATCAGGAAGACATCAGAGAGACATCAGGAAGACATCAGGGACATCAGAGAGACATCAGGAAGACATCAGAGAGACATCAGGAAGACATCAGGGACATCAGAGAGACATCAGGAAGACATCAGGGACATCAGAGAGACATCAGGAAGACATCAGAGAGACATCAGAGAGACATCAGAGAGACATCAGGAAGACATCAGAGAGACATCAGGAAGACATCAGAGAGACATCAGGAAGACATCAGGGACATCAGAGAGACATCAGGAAGACATCAGGGACATCAGGGACATCAGAGAGACATCAGGAAGACATCAGAGAGACATCAGGAAGACATCAGGAAGACATCAGAGAGACATCAGGAAGACATCAGAGAGACATCAGGGACATCAGAGACACATCAGGGACATCAGAGAGACATCAGGAAGACATCAGGAAGACATCAGAGAGACATCAGAGAGACATCAGGAAGACATCAGAGAGACATCAGAGAGACATCAGGAAGACATCAGAGAGACATCAGGGACATCAGAGAGACATCAGGAAGACATCAGAGAGACATCAGGAAGACATCAGGGACATCAGAGAGACATCAGGGAGACATCAGGAAGACATCAGAGAGACATCAGGAAGACATCAGGAAGACATCAGAGAGACATCAGGAAGACATCAGAGAGACATCAGGGACATCAGAGAGACATCAGGGACATCAGAGAGACATCAGGAAGACATCAGGGACATCAGAGAGACATCAGGGAGACATCAGGAAGACATCAGAGAGACATCAGGAAGACATCAGGAAGACATCAGAGACATCAAAGAGACATCAGAGATAGGGATGTAAATCGGCGACCGTTTAACCGGTGGTTGACCGTCACAGCGTTAACCGGTCAAAGCTGTCGGTTAATAAAGAGAAAAAGGGGAGAGGGGAGGACTCTTAATAACGCTATTTTAAGCCCTATTTGCACGGTGTGACGAGCGGGTCTGTATCTAGCTGTGTGCGCCTCTGCCTCAGTCTCTGCCTCAGTCTCTGCCTCAGTCTCTGCTTCAGTCTCTGCCTCAGTCTCTGCCTCAGTCTCTGCCTCAGTCTCTGCCTCAGTCTCTGCCTCAGTCTCTGCTTCAGTCTCTGCCTCAGTCTCTGCTTCAGTCTCTGCCTCAGTCTCTGCTTCAGTCTCTGCCTCAGTCTCTGCCTCTGCCTCAGTCTCTGCCTCAGTCTCTGCCTCAGTCTCTGCCTCAGTCTCTGCCTCAGTCTCTGCCTCAGTCTCTGCCTCAGTCTCTGCCTCAGTCTCTGCCTCAGTCTCTGCCTCAGTCTCTGCCTCAGTCTCTGCTTCAGTCTCTGCCTCAGTCTCTGCCTCAGTCTCTGCCTCAGTCTCTGCCTCAGTCTCTGCCTCAGTCTCTGCCTCAGTCTCTGCCTCAGTCTCTGCCTCAGTCTCTGCCTCAGTCTCTGCCTCAGTCTCTGCCTCAGTCTCTGCCTCAGTCTCTGCTTCAGTCTCTGCCTCAGTCTCTGCCTCAGTCTCTGCCTCAGTCTCTGCCTCAGTCTCTGCCTCAGTCTCTGCTTCAGTCTCTGCTTCAGTCTCTGCTTCAGTCTCTGCCTCAGTCTCTGCCTCAGTCTCTGCTTCAGTCTCTGCCTCAGTCTCTGCCTCAGTCTCTGCCTCAGTCTCTGCCTCAGTCTCTGCCTCAGTCTCTGCTTCAGTCTCTGCCTCAGTCTATGCCTCAGTCTATGCCTCAGTCTATGCCTCAGTCTCTGCCTTCCAGAGAGACATCAGAGACATCAAAGACATCAAAGAGACATCAGAGAGACATCAGAGAGACATCAGAGACATCAAAGAGACATCAGAGACATCAGGAAGACATCAGGAAGACATCAGAGACATCAAAGAGACATCAGAGACAGAGAGACATCAGGGACACATCAGGGACACATCAGGGAGACATCAGGAAGACATCAGGAAGACATCAGAGAGACATCAGAGAGACATCAGGGACATCAGAGAGACATCAGAGACACATCAGAGAGACATCAGAGACACATCAGAGAGACATCAGAGAGAGACATCAGAGACACATCAGAGAGACATCAGAGAGTCATCAGAGACACATCAGAGACACATCAGAGAGACATCAGAGAGACATCAGAGAGACATCAGAGACACATCAGAGACACATCAGAGAGACATCAGAGAGACATCAGAGACACATCAGAGACACATCAGAGACACATCAGAGACATCAGAGACACATCAGAGACACATCAGAGAGACATCAGAGAGACATCAGAGACATCAGAGAGACATCAGAGACACATCAGAGAGACATCAGAGACATCAGAGAGACATCAGAGAGACATCAGAGACACATCAGAGACACATCAGAGACATCAGAGACACATCAGAGAGACATCAAAGAGACATCAGAGACAGACATCAGAGACACATCAGAGAGACATCAGAGACACATCAGAAAGAGACATCAGAGAGAGACATCAGAGACATCAGAGAGACATCAGAGACCCATCAGAGCGCTGTCCTAACCTACTCTGTCCTAACCTACTCTGTCCTAACCTACTCTGTCCTAACCTACTCTGTCCTACTCTACTCTGTCCTACTCTACTCTGTCCTAACCTACTCTGTCCTAACCTATCTGTCTGTCCTAACCTACTCTGTCCTACTACTCTGTCCTAACCTACTCTGTCCTACCCTACTCTGTCCTACCCTGTCCTAACCTACTCTGTCCTAACCTACTCTGTCCTAACCTACTCTGTCCTAACCTAATCTGTCCTAACCTAATCTGTCCTACCCTACTCTGTCCTAACCTACTCTGTCCTAACCTAATCTGTCCTACCCTACTCTGTCCTAACCTACTCTGTCCTAACCTACTCTGTCCTACCCTACTCTGTCCTAACCTACTCTGTCCTACCCTACTCTGTCCTAACCTACTCTGTCCTAACCTACTCTGTCCTAACCTACTCTGTCCTAACCTACTCTGTCCTAACCTACTCTGTCCTAACCTACTCTGTCCTAACCTACTCTGTCCTAACCTACTCTGTCCTACTCTGTCCTAACCTACTCTGTCCTACTCTGTCCTAACCTACTCTGTCCTAACCTATTCTGTCCTACTCTGTCCTAACCTACTCTGTCCTACCCTACTCTGTCCTAACCTACTCTGTCCTAACCTACCCTGTCCTACCGGTTTCTTGTGATTCGTCTTGAGGTCCCCCATGACCTGGTGTAGTACCTGGTGTCGCTCCTGGTGTCGCTCCTGGTGTTCCAGCACCTCCCCTGCTGGTGCACCTGGTCCTCCTCTGCTCCTTCCTGAGGGTCAGCTCTCTCCTGCCCCCTGCTGTTCTCTGTGAGAGTGGACACGTCTCTGCAGGACGGAGGACGCTGAGGCACCAGCGCAGACTGCACACCAGAGGACAGGACCATCAATATACATGATTTAGAAAACAGACTGCTCGCTCACTAACTCTGGACTCTCCCTCTCTGGACTCTCCCTCTCTGGACTCTCCCTCTCTGGACTCTCCCTCTCTGGACTCTCCCTCTCTGGACTCTCCCTCTCTGGACTCTCCCTCTCTGGACTCTCCCTCTCTGGACTCTCCTCTCTGGACTCTCTCTCTCTGGACTCTCTCTCTCTGGACTCTCTCTCTCTGGACTCTCTCTCTCTGGACTCTCTCTCTCTGGACTCTCTCTCTGGACTCTCCCTCTCTGGACTCTCCCTCTCTGGACTCTCCCTCTCTGGACTCTCCCTCTCTGGACTCTCCCTCTCTGGACTCTCCCTCTCTGGACTCTCCCTCTCTGGACTCTCCCTCTCTGGACTCTCCCTCTCTGGACTCTCCCTCTCTGGACTCTCCCTCTCTGGACTCTCTCTTTCTAGTCTCTCTCCTTCTAGTCTCTCTCTTTCTAGTCTCTCTCTTTCTAGTCTCTCTCTTTCTGGTCTCTCTCTTTCTGGTCTCTCTCTCTGGTCTCTCTCACCTTGAAAACTCTTGTGCGGTTACAAAGTGAGAGAGGCTCCAGGTCTCTCTGCGATTTCTGTAACAACAACAAATGGAGTAAGACATGACTAGAATGAGCCAACACTCCCACCTGGTGGCAGAAGTGGGAAACTACACTGAGATAAAGATGGGACCATGGACCATGAGAAAAGACAAATAATTATATATAATGCAACCTCTAAACTTCTACATTAGACATAAAGCAGGACTAGTGCCGCTTTTCCACAGTAACGGTACGGCATGGTGCGGTTATTTTGCATTTCCACTAGGGTTGGGCCTGGGATAAGGGTACTTTCTTTGTACCACCTCGAGGTCCACACGTTACTCTCTTCAGGCCAAAGAAAGAATTTACCGTTTTACTTCTCCTTTTTTGAGTTGATACTCATTTAAAACAAATGTATATTGTAAAGTTATGTATTGACCGCAAAATAAAAACATTTTAATTCAAATGACAAAGTGACATCAGACCAATGTTATTAGCTACATGTGTTCTCACACCCCTCCCAGGCTGAGGACACACTGGAGGTTCCATTATTAATGGAAAAGCACCCGCACTCGGCCGTGCCGTGCCGTGACTGTGGAAAAGCAACATTAAGCAAGTCTAAAGCAGGACTAAAGCAGGTCTAGAGCAGGACTAAAGCAGGACTAAAGCAGGACTAAAGCAGGACTAAAGCAGGTCTAAAGCAGGTCTAAAGCAGGTCTAAAGCAGGTCTAAAGCAGGACTAAAGCAGGTCTAAAGCAGGACTAAAGCAGGTCTAGTGCAGGCCTAAAGCAGGACTAAAGCAGGTCTAAAGCAGGACTAAAGCAGGACTAAAGCAGGACTAAAGCAGGACTAAAGCAGGACTAAAGCAGGACTAAAGCAGGTCTAAAGCAGGACTAAATCAGGTCTAAAGCAGGTCTAAATCAGAACTAAATCAGGTCTAAAGCAGGTCTAAATCAGGACTAAAGCAGGACTAAAGCAGGTCTAAATCAGGACTAAATCAGGACTAAAGCAGGTCTAAATCAGGACTAAATCAGGACTAAAGCAGGTCTAAATCAGGACTAAATCAGGACTAAAGCAGGACTAAAGCAGGTCTAAAGCAGGACTAAAGCAGGACTAAAGCAGGTCTAAAGCAGGTCTAAAGCAGGACTAAAGCAGGACTAAAGCAGGTCTAAAGCAGGTCTAAAGCAGGTCTAAAGCAGGACTAAATCAGGTCTAAAGCAGGTCTAAATCAGGACTAAAGCAGGACTAATCAGGACTAAAGCAGGTCTAAAGCAGGACTAAAGCAGGTCTAAAGCAGGTCTAAAGCAGGTCTAAAGCAGGTCTAAATCAGGACTAAAGCAGGTCTAAAGCAGGTCTAAATCAGGACTAAAGCAGGTCTAAATCAGGACTAAATCAGGACTAAAGCAGGTCTAAAGCAGGTCTAAAGCAGGACTAAAGCAGGTCTAAAGCAGGTCTAAAGCAGGACTAAAGCAGGTAGGAATGTAAATCGGCGACCGTTTAACCGGTGGTTGACCGTCACAGCGTTAACCGGTCAAAGCTGTCGGTTAATAAAGAGAAAAAGGGGAGAGGGGAGGACTCTTAATAACGCTATTTTAAGCCCTATTTGCACGGTGTGACGAGCGGGTCTGTATCTAGCTGTGTGCGCCCATGTATTATAAACTCCGGGACGACTCTCACGCCGCACGAGCCACATATGCACACACACACACACACACACACACACACACACACACACACTTTCCCCCTCTCCATACGTAACATCCACACGCATCATCTCTCCCCTCTGTTACCGTCAAAGTTGCACACTGGCGCGGGTCAGAACTACATTGGAGCTTACATTTACACACACACACACACACACATACACACATACATACACACACACATACACACACACACTCACACACACATGTATTGTACACACACACATACCGGTCTGTCGCGCTCCTCTGTGTCACGGAGCCCAAAGGATTCGCGCAAATACGCGGCTCCAGTCAAACCACATGGGACATGTTTGTGTTTATGGTCCTCGGGATCAGCTCCACACACATCACTTGTATTTAAACTTTTGTGAAGACCTGTGAGACGCCGTCACTCGCTGCTCTGACCATGTGAACGAGCCGTCGTTTGCTGCTAGAAAGTTTTGGTATTAACCCGCAGCACAGCAGAATGGGAAGATTAAAAAAGCAGTTCTCTGTGCGCAAAGGTGCCGGAGCTGTTGCGGGTTTGGGCGCCGCTGTCTCAGCTCTGATCCAGTAGAACGCAGAGCTGCAGTTATGAGAAGTACGCGGCTCGAAATGGCTGTTATTTCAAAGAACGTGGACTATTTTAAACTACGCGGTTAACCGGTTTCAACCGGTTAATGAGGCTCGGTGGTTGGTCATGAAAATTCATAGTTTTTTACATCCCTAAAAGCAGGACTAAAGCAGGTCTAAAGCAGGACTAAAGCAGGACTAAAGCAGGTCTAAAGCAGGTCTAAAGCAGGTCTAAAGCAGGACTAAATCAGGTCTAAAGCAGGTCTAAAGCAGGTCTAAAGCAGGTCTAAAGCAGGTCTAAAGCAGGTCTAAAGCAGGTCTAAAGCAGGACTAAATCAGGTCTAAAGCAGGTCTAAATCAGGACTAAAGCAGGACTAAAGCAGGTCTAAAGCAGGACTAAAGCAGGACTAAAGCAGGACTAAAGCAGGACTAAAGCAGGTCTTAATCAGGACTAAATCAGGACTAAAGCAGGTCTAAAGCAGGACTAAAGCAGGACTAAAGCAGGTCTAAAGCAGGACTAAAGCAGGTCTAAATCAGGTCTAAAGCAGGTCTAAATCAGGACTAAAGCAGGACTAAAGCAGGTCTAAAGCAGGTCTGAAGCAGGTCTAAAGCAGGACTAAAGCAGGACTAAAGCAGGACTAAAGCAGGACTAAAGCAGGTCTAAAGCAGGTCTAAAGCAGGTCTAAAGCAGGTCTAAAGCAGGCCTAAAGCAGGTCTAAAGCAGGTCTAAAGCAGGTCTAAAGCAGGACTAAATCAGGTCTAAATCAGGACTAAATCAGGACTAAAGCAGGTCTAAAGCAGGTCTAAAGCAGGACTAAAGCAGGTCTAAAGCAGGTCTAAAGCAGGTCTAAAGCAGGACTAAATCAGGTCTAAAGCAGGTCTAAATCAGGACTAAATCAGGTCTAAAGCAGGTCTAAATCAGGACTAAAGCAGGTCTAAATCAGGACTAAATCAGGACTAAAGCAGGTCTAAAGCAGGACTAAAGCAGGTCTAAAGCAGGACTAAAGCAGGTCTAAAGCAGGACTAAAGCAGGACTAAAGCAGGACTAAAGCAGGTCTAAATCAGGACTAAAGCAGGACTAAAGCAGGACTAAATCAGGACTACAGCCGCTGACCTGTGTGATGTAGTGCCTGTAGTCCAAGCGCAATTCTCGTTGAAGTCTTTGCTTCTTCTTCTCGTAGTCCAGACCCAGAGGGAGACCCGCCCCCTCCTCTGAAACAAACACACCTCAGCATTCTCATAGAACAACAAGAGTCAGACTTATGTTCTTCCGCTTTATCCGTTGCCGGGAGGCAGCCCTTTTGAGAGACACAGTACCTCCGTGTCCTGGGTCTTACCCTGGTCTCCTAAAGGACAGACACCTCCTCAGGGAGGAGACCAGGGGAGACCCAAGAGGCCTCCCAAACAGAGCCACCTCCGCTGGCTATTCTCCACACGGGGGAGCAGCGGCTCTACACTGAGGTTTGGGGGGTCTGACCTTCTGCTGCAGGAGGTGGGGGGATGTTCTCCTTCACTGTGGAGGTGCAGCTCCTCTGAGGTCTGCTCTGTGACACAAGAAACCCACATGAACACACAAAGACACACAGAGACACACACAGAGAGACACAGACACACACACACAGCTGTACCATGACCATGTAGGGTGGCTCCTGCAGACTGGCCCTGTCCTCAGCCACACGAGCTTTCTGGTTCTTCAGGAAGTCCTCCAGCTGGTCCTCCATCTCTGCAGCACCCCTCACCAGCACCTCAGGAACGCACAACAGTCCGGACTAAAGCAGGTCTAAAGCAGGACTAAATCAGGTCTAAAGCAGGTATAAAGCAGGTCTAAAGCAGGTCTAAAGCAGGCTTAAAGCAGGTCTAAAGCAGGTCTAAAGCAGGTCTAAAGCAGGTCTAAAGCAGGTCTAAAGCAGGTCTAAAGCAGGACTAAAGCAGGTCTAAAGCAGGTCTAAAGCAGGTCTAAAGCAGGTCTAAAGCAGGACTAAAGCAGGTCTAAAGCAGGTCTAAAGCAGGTCTAAAGCAGGTCTAAAGCAGGTCTAAAGCAGGACTAAAGCAGGTCTAAAGCAGGTCTAAAGCAGGACTAAATCAGGTCTAAAGCAGGTATAAAGCAGGTCTAAAGCAGGTCTAAAGCAGGTCTAAAGCAGGTCTAAAGCAGGTCTAAAGCAGGTCTAAAGCAGGACTAAAGCAGGTCTAAAGCAGGTCTAAAGCAGGTCTAAAGCAGGTCTAAAGCAGGTCTAAAGCAGGACTAAAGCAGGTCTAAAGCAGGTCTAAAGCAGGACTAAAGCAGGTCTAAAGCAGGTCTAAAGCAGGACTAAAGCAGGTCTAAAGCAGGACTAAAGCAGGTCTAAAGCAGGACTAAAGCAGGTCTAAAGCAGGACTAAAGCAGGTCTAAAGCAGGTCTAAAGCAGGACTAAAGCAGGTCTAAAGCAGGTCTAAAGCAGGTCTAAAGCAGGACTAAAGCAGGACTAGGGCAGGTCTAAAGCAGGTCTAAAGCAGGACTAAAGCAGGTCTAAAGCAGGACTAAAGCAGGTCTAAAGCAGGTCTAAAGCAGGACTAAAGCAGGTCTAAAGCAGGTCTAAAGCAGGTCTAAAGCAGGTCTAAAGCAGGTCTAAAGCAGGTCTAAAGCAGGTCTAAAGCAGGTCTAAAGCAGGACTAAAGCAGGACTAAAGCAGGTCTAAAGCAGGACTAAAGCAGGTCTAAAGCAGGTCTAAAGCAGGTCTAAAGCAGGACTAAAGCAGGTCTAAAGCAGGTCTAAAGCAGGTCTAAAGCAGGACTAAAGCAGGTCTAAAGCAGGACTAAAGCAGGTCTAAAGCAGGTCTAAAGCAGGTCTAAAGCAGGTCTAAAGCAGGACTAAAGCAGTGAAACAGAGGACCACCCTGTCTCAGCCAATCAGCTGCTTCCTTCACAGATCACGTGTGTTTATGATCTGTATTATTCATGAACAGTTGTGTATCTTTGACACTCAGCGGCTCAGTCTGTGTGGGTCAGAAACCTTCACATTAAACACTTTGGCCTCAGATATAACACAGATAACGGTTCCTCTCTCTGCTCCGTGCTAACCCCATCCAGAGGTAAATAATGTGATAAAGTCCTGCTTTAGCGAAGAGCTAAGTAGCTACACAGCCTCAAACCATGTTAGAATAAATGTTTTATCTCAAAACACGACAGTAGAACTATAACAGGGATAATAAGGGTTGAATGTGTGCGAAAAAGATAAAACAAACGAACGTACCATGAGTTATTTAGCCGTTTGTCAATGAACGTAGCACAAACCCGGCTGGACTAAAGTTAGCGCTACCAGAGAATACTTACTTCCGGTTTGTCAAAGTAAAATAATTAATATAGCACTTAAAGACCTTATGACGGGTTTGATTTATTTAGAAATACAGTTTTAATACCATTTTATATTAGAAGAGAACTACTAAAGGTTTCAAAATCAGTTGTTGTTTTTTTTGTCTGATCCCCCCAAATCGAAATAACCCCATAGCAACGCCCTTAGAAACGACAAAAACTTCACAGCCCTTGGTGACGTCAGAACGGGTACGTTTCAAAGCTGTAAGTTGTTTACAATTTGGTATTCGTTCTTTTTTCGCGGATATTCAAGATGACAAGGCCGTGTACAGCGAGTATGAGATAACTACTAGAATATAATATTTCGTTGTCACTGAGATAGTCCAGTGGTTGTGTCGATGCACTGCCAATTCAGATACTTGGGTTCAAATCCCACCTCGGACACTTTTTCACTCTCAAAACGGCAATTTATGTGTAGTGAGCAATTGTCACCTGTAGAGGGCAGTATTGTGTTGGGCATCAGTGGAGAGAAGAGAGAAAAGGCAGTCCTGTGGCATAGATCCATGGTTTTCAATGCATGGGCGTAACCCGCTGTGACGTCACACACAGGTTAGAGCATAGACAACTTAAATTCATGAAAAACACCTTCTTTTTATAAAATATAGGATTTTTGTTGCTGGAATCTCTTTCAAATTGACATTGTCATGCAATTTTGATATCCACTATTTTTAAAAAAAACCCGTCATAAGGTCACACATTCAGGCCCGTAGTAAAAACACGGTATGTTTTTGTTGCAACAGTTTATTGCTTATACAAACGGTTTTTAAACAATTGTTGGTAAAAATAAAATCTATCAATAATAATCATAAATAAATCACACGACTTTCACATGACGGAATATTGCACAATGATACGCTTCAGAACGAGGACCGCAAACGGACTGAGGTGAAGCTCCGCCTCCTGCTCCTGCTTCACAACACGCCTGCTCCAGGTCAGTGTAGGAGAGAGAGAAGAGAGAGTAGAGTAAAGAGAGAGAGTAGAGTGGAGAAAGAGGAGAGTAAAGAGTATAGAGAGAGTTTAATTTGATGTTTCAGAATGTGAAATAATATCTGAGGTTGGAAATGTATGAGAGAGACCAGTGAGAGAGACCAGAGAGAGAGACCAGTGAGAGAGACCAGTGAGAGAGACCAGAGAGAGAGACCAGAGAGAGAGACCAGTGAGAGAGACCAGTGAGAGAGACCAGTGAGAGAGACCAGAGAGAGAGACCAGTGAGAGAGACCAGAGAGAGAGACCAGTGAGAGAGACCAGTGAGAGAGACCAGTGAGAGAGACCAGAGAGAGAGACCAGTGAGAGAGACCAGTGAGAGAGACCAGTGAGAGAGACCAGTGAGAGAGACCAGAGAGAGAGACCAGAGAGAGAGACCAGTGAGAGAGACCAGTGAGAGAAACCAGTGAGAGAGACCAGAGAGAGAGACCAGAGAGAGAGACCAGTGAGAGAGACCAGAGAGAGAGACCAGTGAGAAAGACCAGTGAGAGAGACCAGAGAGAGAGACCAGAGAGAGACCAGTGAGAGAGACCAGAGAGAGAGACCAGTGAGAGAGACCAGTGAGAGAGACCAGAGAGAGAGACCAGAGAGAGAGACCATGAGAGAGACCAGTGAGAGAGACCAGTGAGAGAGACCAGAGAGAGAGACCAGTGAGAGAGACCAGAGAGAGAGACCAGTGAGAGAGACCAGTGAGAGAGACCAGTGAGAGAGACCAGAGAGAGAGACCAGTGAGAGAGACCAGTGAGAGAGACCAGTGAGAGAGACCAGAGAGAGAGACCAGAGAGAGAGACCAGTGAGAGAGACCAGTGAGAGAGACCAGTGAGAGAGACCAGAGAGAGAGACCAGAGAGAGAGACCAGTGAGAGAGACCAGAGAGAGAGACCAGTGAGAAAGACCAGTGAGAGAGACCAGTGAGAAAGACCAGTGAGAAAGACCAGTGAGAGAGACCAGTGAGAGAGACCAGAGAGAGAGACCAGAGAGAGACCAGTGAGAGAGACCAGAGAGAGACCAGTGATAGCAGTGTTCCAAGCAAGACTCAGGACACGCTGTAGGGACTGTCTCTCTCAGCTGGAACGCCTCGGCCCTGGAACGCCTCGGCCCTGGAACGCCTCGGCCCTGGAACGCCTCGGCCCTGGAACGCCTCGACGCCTCGGCCCTGGAACGCCTCGACGCCTCGGGCCTGGAACGCCTCGGGCCTGGAACGCCTCGACGCCTCGGGCCTGGAACGCCTCGGGCCTGGAACGCCTCGGGCCTGGAACGCGTCGACGCCTCGGGCCTGGAACGCCTCGGGCCTGGAACGCCTCGACGCCTCGGGCCTGGAACGCCTCGGGCCTGGAACGCCTCGGGCCTGGAACGCCTCGACGCCTGGAACGCCTCGGGCCTGGAACGCCTCGACGCCTCGGGCCTGGAACGCCTCGGGCCTGGAACGCCTCGGGCCTGGAACGCCTCGGCCCTGGAACGCCTCGGCCCTGGAACGCCTCGGCCCTGGAACGCCTCGACGCCTCGGGCCTGGAACGCCTCGGGCCTGGAACGCCTCGGGCCTGGAACGCCTCGGGCCTGGATTCCCCCGGATGAGCCGGAGGATTCTTGTGGAACTGATTTGTTGCAGATTTCTGACTCTTCTTAGCAGTGTGTGAGTGGCGCTCTCCGTTGGCCACTGCTGGGAATGCACCGTGTTGAAAAACTAGATTAGCAGCGATGCTAATCTAACAGAAGCTTGAGCAAGTGGATTTTCTCTGGTTTGATAAAGTCCTGTGAGGTGCTGCAGGTGTTCGATGAGAGCGGGTCTTCACGACGAGTGCAGTTTATGGAACAGAGACCAGTGCTACAGAACGAAGTCGTGTGATTGGACGAAAAGCCAGTGATGTCGCACCCTTGTTGTGGCTTCCTGTGTGTCGTTCTGGTCCGTACCATAAACAGTCATTCCCCTGTTTCTGGTTTCTGATGTGGATCTGAGAGTTCGGGCCGTTTGATTGGTCGCTACAGAAAAGGCCCTGACGCTGCATTTGATCCCTGTTTGGGTCTGTGTGTGGTCCTGGTCCCACACCTGGTCCCACACCTGGTCCCACACCTGGTCCCACACCTGGTCCCACACCTGGTCCCACATCTGGTCTACGTACTGAGCTCTGGACACAACTCCTTCAGTAACATTTCCATCATCACCTGAAACCAGAAGTCAGAGGTCAAAGACACACACACAGAGCAGATGCACACACAGAGCAGACACACACAGAGCAGACACACACACACACACACACACAGAGCAGATGCACACACAGAGCAGACACACACAGAGCAGACACACACACAGAGCAGATGCACACACACACAGAGCAGATGTACACACAGAGCAGATGCACACACAGAGCAGATGCACACAGAGCAGACACACACACAGAGCAGACACACACACAGAGCAGACACACACACAGAGCAGACACACACAGAGCAGACGCACACACAGAGCAGATGCACACAGAGCAGACGCACACAGAGCAGACACACACAGAGCAGACACACACACAGACACAGACAATCACACACAGAGCAGACACACACACACACAGCAGACACACACACACAGACACACACACACAGAGCAGACACACACACACAGACAATCACACACAGAGCAGACACACACAGCAGGCACACACACAGACACACACAGCAGACACACACAGCAGACACACACACACACACAGACACACACAGAGCTCCTCACGTAGAGCAGGTGCTTGTTGGCGCTGGCCTCCTGCAGAGCGTTGAAAATCTTGATGATTCCGTAGCGAGCGTTCTGCTGACCCACCAGGTTGGTCAGGGCGTCTGGGGAGGGGGAAACCATTAACCATCATACCATCAACCATGCTGACCCACCAGGTTGGTCAGGGCGTCTGGGGAGGGGGAAACCATTAACCATCATACCATCAACCATGCTGACCCACCAGGTTGGTCAGGGCGTCTGGGGAGGGGGAAACCATTAACCATCATACCATCAACCATGCTGACCCACCAGGTTGGTCAGGGCGTCTGGGGAGGGGGAAACCATTAACCATCATACCATCAACCATGCTGACCCACCAGGTTGGTCAGGGCGTCTGGGGAGGGGGAAACCATTAACCATCATACCATCAACCATGCTGACCCACCAGGTTGGTCAGGGCGTCTGGGGAGAGGGAAACCATTAACCATCATACCATCAACCATGCTGACCCACCAGGTTGGTCAGGGCGTCTGGGGAGGGGGAAACCATTAACCATCATACCATCAACCATGCTGACCCACCAGGTTGGTCAGGGCGTCTGGGGAGAGGGAAACCATTAACCATCATACCATCAACCATGCTGACCCACCAGGTTGGTCAGGGCGTCTGGGGAGGGGGAAACCATTAACCATCATACCATCAACCATGCTGACCCACCAGGTTGGTCAGGGCGTCTGGGGAGAGGGAAACCATTAACCATCATACCATCAACCATGCTGACCCACCAGGTTGGTCAGGGCGTCTGGGGAGAGGGAAACCATTAACCATCATACCATCAACCATGCTGACCCACCAGGTTGGTCAGGGCGTCTGGGGAGAGGGAAACCATTAACCACCATACCATCAACCATGCTGACCCACCAGGTTGGTCAGGGCGTCTGGGGAGAGGGAAACCATTAACCACCATACCATCAACCATGCTGACCCACCAGGTTGGTCAGGGTGTCTGGGAAGGGGGAAACCATTAACCATCATACCATCAACCATGCTGACCCACCAGGTTGGTCAGGGTGTCTGGGGACGGGGAAACCATTAACCATCATACCATCAACCATGCTGACCCACCAGGTTGGTCAGGGCGTCTGGGGAGAGGGGAACCATTAACCATCATACCATCAACCATGCTGACCCACCAGGTTGGTCAGGGCGTCTGGGGAGAGGGAAACCATTAACCATCATACCATCAACCATGCTGACCCACCAGGTTGGTCAAGGCGTCTGGGGAGGGGGAAACCATTAACCATCATACCATCAACCATGCTGACCCACCAGGTTGGTCAGGGCGTCTGGGGAGGGGGAAACCATTAACCATCATACCATCAACCATGCTGACCCACCAGGTTGGTCAGGGCGTCTGGGGAGGGGGAAACCATTAACCATCATACCATCAACCATGCTGACCCACCAGGTTGGTCAGGGCGTCTGCGGAGGGGGAAACCATTAACCATCATACCATCAACCATGCTGACCCACCAGATTGGTCAGGGCGTCTGGGGAGAGGGAAACCATTAACCATCATACCATCAACCATGCTGACCCACCAGGTTGGTTAGGGCGTACCATTGTACCATCACACCATCGTATCATCACACCATCGTACCATCGTAGCATCACACCATCGTAGCATCACACCATCGTACCATCACACCATCGTACCATGGTATTATTAACAGACAGAAGACAGACCCAAGGAAACATCAGAATCCAACATATTTAAAACCAGTCAGACCAGCTCGCCCTGATTGGCCCTTTGGTTGCTAGGCAGTTGCTATATGAAAATTTGGCAGCAGATTCGCGACCATAGTGCATACAGAGTCAGTTTCCTTGTACCAGGTGAGTGTTACCTGTTATATTGTCCAGGAGCTTCTTCTGGGCTCTCTCCCTGGTCTCTCTCCTCTCAGACTGTGGTACCAGGTGTGAGTGTTACCTGGTATATTGTCCAGGAGCTTCCTCTGGGCTCTCTCCCTGGTCTCTCTCCTCTCAGACTGTGGTACCAGGTGTGAGTGTTACCTGGTATATTGTCCAGGAGCTTCCTCTGGGCTCTCTCCCTGGTCTCTCTCCTCTCAGACTGGTGTAGGCGAGCGCCTGGTGGCCGGGCCTTAGCCCACGGGTACCGACGTGGGCAGTGTGAGTGTTACCTGGTATATTGTCCAGGCAGCTCTTGGGACGTGGAACGTCACCTCACTGGGGGGGAAGGAGCCCGAGCTTGTGGGGGAGGTTGAGCGATACCGACTAGAGATAGTCGGCCTCACCTCCACACACAGCTTGGGCTCTGGAACCCAACTCCTTGAGAGGGGTTGGACGCTCCACTTTTCTGGTGTTTCCCGCGGGGAGAGGCGGCGAGCTGGGGTGGCCATTCTCATTGCCCCCCATCTCAGCCGCCACGTGTTGGAGTTCTCCCCGGTGAATGAGAGGGTCGCGTCCCTCCGCCTCCGGGTGGGGGACAAGTCTCTCACTGTTGTGACGGCCTACGGGCCTAACGGCAGTGCAGAGTACCCGGCCTTCTTGGAGTCCTTGGGAGGGGTACTGGACAGTGCACCGCCCGGGGACTCCGTTATTCTCCTGGGGGACTTCAACGCCCATGTGGGAAATGCCAGTGACACTTGGAGAGGGGTGATCGGGAAGAGCGGCCCCCCTGATCTGAACCCGAGCGGTGTTCAGTTGTTGGACTTCTGTGCCAGTCACAGTTTGTCCATCACGAACACCATGTTCGAGCACAAGGGTGTCCACCAGTGCACGTGGCACCAGGACACCCTAGGCCGGAGGTCGATGATCGACTTTGTTGTCGTATCATCTGACCTTCGACCGCGTGTCTCGGACACTCGGGTAAAGAGAGGGGCGGAGCTGTCAACCGATCATCACCTGGTCGTGAGTTGGATCCGCTGGCAGGGGAAGAAGCCGGTCAGACCTGGCAGACCCAAGCGTGTAGTGAGGGTCTGCTGGGAACGTCTCGCTGAGCCCCCTGTCAGACGGACTTTCAACTCACACCTCCGGGAGAGCTTCTCCCAGGTCCCGGTGGAGGAGGGGGACATGGAGTCCGAGTGGACCATGTTCTCTGCCTCAATCGCCGATGCGGCGGCTCGTAGCTGTGGTCGCAAGGTCTCTGGTGCTGGTCCCGGCGGCAACCCCCGAACCCGGTGGTGGACACCGGCAGTAAGGGATGCTGTCAGGCTGAAGAAGGAGTCCTATCGAGCCATGATGGTTCGGGGGACTCCTGAGGCAGCTGTCCAGTACCGGCAGGCCAAGCGTGCCGCGGCCCGGGCTGTTGCAGAGGCAAAAACCCGGGAATGGGAGGAGTTCGGAGAGTCCATGGAGCATGACTATCGGTCGGCCTCAAAGAGATTCTGGCAAACCGTCCGGCGCCTCAGGAGGGGGAAGCAGTTCTTTGCCAACACCATGTACGGTGCGGGTGGAGAGCTGCTGACCTCGACGGGGGATATTGTCGGGCGGTGGAAGGAATACTTTGAGGTTCTCCTCAATCCCCCCGTCACGTCCTCTGTTTCAGAGGCAGAGGCTGAGGATGTTGGGGCGGATACATCCATCTCCCTGGCTGAGGTCACCAAGGTGGTTGGTAGCCTCCATGGTGGCAAGGCTCCGGGTGTGGATGAGATCCGCCCTGATTATCTAAAGTCTCTGGATGTTGTAGGACTGTCTTGGCTGACACGTCTCTGCAACATCGCGTGGCGATCGGGGGCGGTGCCAATGGAGTGGCAGACCGGGGTGGTGGTCCCTCTCTACAAGAAGGGGGACCGGAGGGTGTGTTCCAATTATCGTGGGATCACACTCCTCAGCCTCCCCGGTAAGGTCTACTCCAAGGTACTGGAGAGGAGGCTACGGCCGATGGTCGAATCTCGGATCCAGGAGGAGCAGTGTGGTTTTCGCCCCGGTCGCGGAACACTGGACCAGCTCTATACTCTCCATCGGATACTCGAGGGTTCATGGGAGTTCGCCCAACCTGTCCACATGTGCTTTGTGGATTTGGAGAAGGCGTTCGACTGTGTTCCCCGGGGTGTCCTTTGGGGGGTTCTCCGGGAGTACGGGGTCGGGGGTCCTCTGCTGAGGGCCATCCGGTCCCTGTATGACCAGAGCCAGAGCTGTGTTCGCATTGCCGGCAGTAAGTCAGACCTGTTCCCGGTGAATGTTGGCCTCCGACAGGGCTGCCCTTTGTCACCGGTTCTGTTCACTGTATTTATGGACAGAATATCTAGGCGCAGCCAGGGGTCGGAGGGGGTCCGGTTCGGGGACCACAGGATTTCATCTCTGCTGTTTGCGGACGATGTTGTCCTGTTGGCTCCAACGAACCAGGACCTGCAGCATGCACTGGGACGGTTTGCAGCCGAGTGTGAAGCGGCTGGGATGAGAATCAGCACCTCCAAATCTGAGGCCATGGTGCTCGACCGGAAAAAGGTGCCCTGCCCTCTTCAGGTGGGTGGAGAGGTCCTTCCTCAAGTGGAGGAGTTCAAGTATCTCGGGGTCTTGTTCACGAGTGAGGGAAGAATGGAGCGTGAGATTGACAGGCGGATCGGTGCAGCGTGCGCAGTGATGCGGTCGCTGTATCGGACCGTGGTGGTAAAGAGGGAGCTGAGCCGAAAGGCAAAGCTCTCGATTTACCGGTCAATCTTCGTTCCCTCCCTCACCTATGGTCATGAGCTTTGGGTAATGACCGAAAGAACGAGATCGCGGATACAAGCGGTCGAAATGAGCTTCCTCCGCAGAGTGGCTGGGCGCTCCCTTAGAGATAGGGTGAGGAGCTCAGTCACACGGGAGGAGCTCGGAGTAGAGCCGCTGCTTCTCCACGTCGAGAGGAACCAGTTGAGGTGGCTCGGGCATCTGTTCCGGATGCCTCCTGGACGCCTCCCTAGGGAGGTGTTCCGGGCACGTCCCACCGGGAGGAGGCCCCGCGGAAGACCTAGGACACGCTGGAGGGACTATGTCTCTCAGCTGGCCTGGGAACGCCTTGGGGTCCCCCCGGACGAGCTGGAGGAAGTGTGTGTGGATAGGGAAGTCTGGGCGTCTCTGCTTAGACTGCTGCCCCCGCGACCCGGCAACGGATAAAGCGGAAGAAAATGGATGGATGGATGGATATGGACGCACACATTTACTGAGCTAACTCCGTGTTTACAGAAAAAGTTTCTGAAATTATAAGCGTTTTGTCTTCGTGTGGATATAGCCTAAGTGTTCCTGTTTACAACACCGGCAGCAGGGTTGCCAGGTTGGGTGGTTTCCCGCATACTTTTGTTCCCAGAGCCTTGTGGGTAATAAATAAACAGAAAGACATAAACAGAATCATGAGTTTATTACTTAAGTTTTTAGCCAAAAAATCATTCCCGAGTTTTGGGCTGGACAATCTTGACGGCATTCGGCAACCCATGGGATGAAGTAACACGTCATTCCAGATAACGGACAGGTGGTTTATCCAATCACATTCAAGGATTTTTTTACAAGGCCCCGCCTTCTGAAATGTATCCCCTAAGGATTAGACCCAGACCCAGACCCAGACCCAGACCCTCAGAGACCTACATCTTCAGCCTAAGATGATGCTGCTCTGTGGTAGCCTCTGCCATACACTACACTGCTGTATGCTGGGCCCGGGACAGGAGGCCCCTGGACAGGAGGCCCCTGGACTCTGTGGAGGAGGTGAGGGACAGGAGGCCCCTGGACTCTGTGGAGGAGGTGAGGGACAGGAGGCCCCTGGACTCTGTGGAGGAGGTGAGAGACAGGAGGCCCCTGGACTCTGTGGAGGAGGTGAGGGACAGGAGGCCCCTGGACTCTGTGGAGGAGGTGAGGGACAGGAGGCCCCTGGACTCTGTGGAGGAGGTGAGGGACAGGAGGCCCCTGGACTCTCTGGAGGAGGTGAGGGACAGGAGGTCCCTGGACTCTGTGGAGGAGGTGAGGGACAGGAGGCCCCTGGACTCTCTGGAGGAGGTGAGGGACAGGAGGTCCCTGGACTCTGTGGAGGAGGTGAGGGACAGGAGGCCCCTGGACTCTGTGGAGGAGGTGAGGGACAGGAGGCCCCTGGACTCTGTGGAGGAGGTGAGGGACAGGAGGCCCCTGGACTCTGTGGAGGAGGTGAGGGACAGGAGGTGTTAGTCAAAGCCACCTCCATCATGAACACCTCCCACTGCACAGGACTGAGGAGGAGCTGAGGAGCTCCTTCAGTGGAAGGAGGAGCAGGGCCTTTATCCCCACCGCTGTCAGACTGTACAACAAGTCACTTTAAGGGTGTATTCAGACCTGCACATTTGCTCCACTTTAAACGGACCAGGATTCGTTTGGAACTCTGATCCGAACCTTTTATGCAGGTCTGAATACACACAAACAAATCCTGGTCCGGACCAAAGAACCGAACCGAGACCCACTTTTTTAGGTGGTCTCGGTCCGCTTCCAAAACGAATTCTGGTCCAAATCGAATCAGGTCTGAATACATCCGGTGTCGATCCGACACAACTCCAAGATACGTGCACATTTTTTGGGATTAACAAGCCGTAGACAGAAACTGAGGAATTAGCCACCCAGCGGCTAACTATGATGCTAACTATGATGCTAACTATGATGCTAACTATGCTGCTAACTATGCTGCTAACTATGCTGCTAACTATGCTGCTAACTATGATGCTAACTATGCTGCTAACTATGATGCTAACTATGATGCTAACTATGATGCTAACTATGCTGCTAACTATGCTGCTAACTATGATGCTAACTATGCTGCTAACTATGCTGCTAACTATGCTGCTAACTATGCTGCTAACTATGATGCTAACTATGCTGCTAACGATCCATGTGTGGGACAGAGTTATTATCATAGATCCATGTGTGGGACAGAGTTATTATTATAGATCCATGTGTGGGACAGAGTTATTATCATAGATCCATGTGTGGGACAGAGTTATTATCATAGATCCATGTGTGGGACAGGTTATTATCATAGATCCATGTGTGGGACAGGGTTATTATCATAGATCCATGTGTGGGACAGAGTTATTATCATAGATCCATGTGTGGGACAGAGTTATTATCATAGATCCATGTGTGGGACAGAGTTATTATCATAGATCCATGTGTGGGACAGAGTTATTATCATAGATCCATGTGTGGGACAGAGTTATTATCATAGATCCATGTGTGGGACAGAGTTATTATCATAGATCCATGTGTGGGACAGAGTTATTATCATAGATCCATGTGTGGGACAGGGTTATTATCATAGATCCATGTGTGGGACAGAGTTATTATCATAGATCCATGTGTGGGACAGAGTTATTATCATAGATCCATGTGTGGGACAGAGTTATTATCATAGATCCATGTGTGGGACAGAGTTATTATCATAGATCCATGTGTGGGACAGGGTTATTATCATAGATCCATGTGTGGGACAGAGTTATTATCATAGATCCATGTGTGGGACAGAGTTATTATCATAGATCCATGTGTGGGACAGAGTTATTATCATAGATCCATGTGTGGGACAGAGTTATTATCATAGATCCATGTGTGGGACAGAGTTATTATCATAGATCCATGTGTGGGACAGAGTTATTATCATAGATCCATGTGTGGGACAGAGTTATTATCATAGATCCATGTGTGGGACAGAGTTATTATCATAGATCCATGTGTGGGACAGAGTTATTATCATAGATCCATGTGTGGGACAGAGTTATTATCATAGATCCATGTGTGGGACAGAGTTATTATCATAGATCCATGTGTGGGACAGAGTTATTATCATAGATCCATGTGTGGGACAGAGTTATTATCATAGATCCATGTGTGGGACAGAGTTATTATCATAGATCCATGTGTGGGACAGGGTTATTATCATAGATCCATGTGTGGGACAGAGTTATTATCATAGATCCATGTGTGGGACAGAGTTATTATCATAGATCCATGTGTGGGACAGAGTTATTATCATAGATCCATGTGTGGGACAGAGTTATTATCATAGATCCATGTGTGGGACAGAGTTATTATCATAGATCCATGTGTGGGACAGAGTTATTATCATAGATCCATGTGTGGGACAGAGTTATTATCATAGATCCATGTGTGGGACAGAGTTATTATCATAGATCCATGTGTGGGACAGAGTTATTATCATAGATCCATGTGTGGGACAGAGTTATTATCATAGATCCATGTGTGGGACAGAGTTATTATCATAGATCCATGTGTGGGACAGGGTTATTATCATAGATCCATGTGTGGGACAGAGTTATTATCATAGATCCATGTGTGGGACAGGGTTATTATCATAGATCCATGTGTGGGACAGAGTTATTATCATAGATCCATGTGTGGGACAGAGTTATTATCATAGATCCATGTGTGGGACAGAGTTATTATCATAGATCCATGTGTGGGACAGAGTTATTATCATAGATCCATGTGTGGGACAGAGTTATTATCATAGATCCATGTGTGGGACAGAGTTATTATCATAGATCCATGTGTGGGACAGAGTTATTATCATAGATCCATGTGTGGGACAGAGTTATTATCATAGATCCATGTGTGGGACAGGGTTATTATCATAGATCCATGTGTGGGACAGAGTTATTATCATAGATCCATGTGTGGGACAGGGTTATTATCATAGATCCATGTGTGGGACAGAGTTATTATCATAGATCCATGTGTGGGACAGAGTTATTATCATAGATCCATGTGTGGGACAGAGTTATTATCATAGATCCATGTGTGGGTGTTGATGTTGAAGGTGGTTTTGGTCCAAAAAGAGCAAACACAGGCTCTTTTTACACGTGTCAATATGTTTATATAAAAAAGTTCACTTGCAAAAAGGACAGTCTGAAAACGAACCGGAGCAAAAGAAAAAAGTTTGGTCCGCTTTTGATTTGGATCAAGCAAGCGGAGCAAAGGACTTTTCAGGTCTGAATACACCCTAAAGCTCTGCATTAGGACTGAAAACCTGCACTACTATTGACGTCTGTCTGTCTGTGTGTGTGTGTGTGTCTCTGTGCGTGTGTGTGTGTGCGTGTGTCTGCCTGTGTGTCTGTGTGTGTGTGTGTGTGTGTGTGTGTGTGTGTGTCTCTGTGTGTGTGTGTCTGTCTGTGTGTCTGCCTGTGTGTCTGTGTGTCTGTGTGTGTCTCTGTGTGTGTGTGTCTCTGTTTGTGTGTGTGTCTGTGTGTCTTGTGTCTCTGTGTGTGTGTGTGTGTGTGTGTGTGTGTGTGTGTGTGTGTCTGTGTGTGTGTGTGTGTGTGTGTGTGTGTGTGTCTCTCTGTGTGTACAGAGTGAAGTGCCACAGATCGTGGGGGAGATCTATCAGAAGTTCTTTGTGGAGAGCAGAGAGATCTCAGTGGAGAAGGTTCTACTGAAGGAGATTCAGCAGAGTCTGGTCGGGAACAGAGGGACCGAGGTGTTCACACACCTGCAGGAGGAGGTAACACAACTACACACAACTGACACACAACAGAGGGACCGAGGTGTTCACACACCTGCAGGAGGAGGTAACACAACTACACACAACTGACACACAACAGAGGGACCGAGGTGTTCACACACCTGCAGGAGGAGGTAACACAACTACACACAACTGACACACAACAGAGGGACCGAGGTGTTCACACACCTGCAGGAGGAGGTAACACAACTACACACAACTGACACACAACAGAGGGACCGAGGTGTTCACACACCTGCAGGAGGAGGTAACACAACTACACACAACTGACACACAACAGAGGGACCGAGGTGTTCACACACCTGCAGGAGGAGGTAACACAACTACACACAACTACACACAACTGACACACAACAGAGGGACCGAGGTGTTCACACACCTGCAGGAGGAGGTAACACAACTACACACAACTACACACAACTGACACACAACAGAGGGACCGAGGTGTTCACACACCTGCAGGAGGAGGTAACACAACTACACACAACTGACACACAACAGAGGGACCGAGGTGTTCACACACCTGCAGGAGGAGGTAACACAACTACACACAACTGACACACAACAGAGGGACCGAGGTGTTCACACACCTGCAGGAGGAGGTAACACAACTACACACAACTGACACACAACAGAGGGACCGAGGTGTTCACACACCTGCAGGAGGAGGTAACACAACTACACACAACTGACACACAACAGAGGGACCGAGGTGTTCACACACCTGCAGGAGGAGGTAACACAACACACAAACTACACACAACTGACACACAACAGAGGGACCGAGGTGTTCACACACCTGCAGGAGGAGGTAACACAACTACACACACACACTGACACACAACAGAGGGACCGAGGTGTTCACACACCTGCAGGAGGAGGTAACACAACTACACACAACTACACACAACAGAGGGACCGAGGTGTTCACACACCTGCAGGAGGAGGTAACACAACTACACACAACTGACACACAACTGACACACAACAGAGGGACCGAGGTGTTCACACACCTGCAGGAGGAGGTAACACAACTACACACAACTGACACACAACAGAGGGACCGAGGTGTTCACACACCTGCAGGAGGAGGTAACACAACTACACACAACTGACACACAACTGACACACAACAGAGGGACCGAGGTGTTCACACACCTGCAGGAGGAGGTAACACAACTACACACAACTGACACACAACTGACACACAACAGAGGGACCGAGGTGTTCACACACCTGCAGGAGGAGGTAACACAACTACACACAACTGACACACAACTGACACACAACAGAGGGACCGAGGTGTTCACACACACCTGCAGGAGGAGGTAACACAACTACACACAACTACACACAACTGACACACAACAGAGGGACCGAGGTGTTCACACACCTGCAGGAGGAGGTAACACAACTACACACAACTACACACAACAGACACACAACAGAGGGACCGAGGTGTTCACACACCTGCAGGAGGAGGTAACACAACTACACACAACTACACACAACTGACACACAACAGAGGGACCGAGGTGTTCACACACCTGCAGGAGGAGGTAAAACAACTACACACAACTACACACAACTGACACACAACAGAGGGACCGAGGTGTTCACACACCTGCAGGAGGAGGTAACAAACTACACACAACTACACACAACACACACAACAGACACACAACAGAGGGACCGAGGTGTTCACACACCTGCAGGAGGAGGTAAAACAACTACACACAACTACACACAACTGACACACAACAGAGGGACCGAGGTGTTCACACACCTGCAGGAGGAGGTAACACAACTACACACAACTACACACAACTGACACACAACAGAGGGACCGAGGTGTTCACACACCTGCAGGAGGAGGTAAAACAACTACACACAACTGACACACAACAGAGGGACCGAGGTGTTCACACACCTGCAGGAGGAGGTAAAACAACTACACACAACTACACACAACTGACACACAACAGAGGGACCGAGGTGTTCACACACCTGCAGGAGGAGGTAACACAACTACTCACAACTGACACACAACAGAGGGACCGAGGTGTTCACACACCTGCAGGAGGAGGTGAGCCTGAAGACGCACAACTACACAAAAGAGCACAATGACAGCAGCCTACAGCATGATGCTGCCCCCACCACATGGACGTATGAAGACATGTGTGTTCTACTGACATGAATTTTGTTTGTGTGTGTTTGTGTCTGTTTGTGTGTGTGTGTGTGTGTATGTTTGTCCGTGTGTGTGTGTGTGTATGTTTGTCTGTGTGTGTGTCTGTGTGTCTCTGTGTCTCTGTGTGTGTCTCTGTGTGTGTGTCTGTGTGTGTGTGTGTGTGTGTGTCTCTGTGTCTCTGTGTGTGTGTCTGTGTGTGTGTGTGTGTGTCTGTGTGTCTCTGTGTCTCTGTGTGTGTGTCTGTGTGTGTGTGTGTCTTTGTGTGTGTCTCTCTGTGTGTCTGTGTGTCTCTGTGTGTCTGTGTGTGTCTGTCTGTGTGTGTCTGTGTGTGTGTGTGTGTGTCTCTGTGTGTGTGTGTGTGTGTGTCTCTCTGTGTGTGTGTGTCTCTCTGTGTGTGTCTCTCTGTGTGTGTGTGTGTGTCTGTGTGTGTGTGTGTCTGTGTGTGTCTCTGTGTGTGTGTGTGTGTCTGTGTGTGTGTCTGTGTGTGTGTGTGTCTGTGTGTGTCTCTGTGTGTGTGTGTGTGTCTGTGTGTGTAGGTGACAGAGACCATGAGGGAGCGCTTCTACCCGTCCTTCCTGGTGTCAGATCTGTACGACAGACTGATCCGACGAGACGACCCTCAGAACCCAAGTCAGGGGAGCAGCGAGGAGCGCGAGGAGGAGGTGAGGCAGGGGAGGAGGAGGTGAGGCAGAGGAGGAGGAGGTGAGGCAGGGGAGGAGGAGGTGAGGCAGGGGAGGAGGAGGTGAGGCAGAGGAGGAGGAGGTGAGGCAGGGGAGGAGGAGGTGAGGCAGGGGAGGAGGAGGTGAGGCAGGGGAGGAGGAGGTGAGGCAGGGGAGGAGGAGGTGAGGCAGGGGAGGAGGAGGTGAGGCAGGGGAGGAGGAGGTGAGGCAGGGGAGGAGGAGGTGAGGCAGGGGAGGAGGAGGTGAGGCAGAGGAGGAGGAGGTGAGGCAGGGGGAGGAGGAGGTGAGGCAGGGGAGGAGGAGGTGAGGCAGGGGAGGAGGAGGTGAGGCAGGGGAGGAGGAGGTGAGGCAGGGGAGGAGGAGGTGAGGCAGGGGAGGAGGAGGAGGCAGAGAGGGAGGTGAGGCAGGGGAGGAGGAGGAGGTGAGGCAGGGGAGGAGGAGGTGAGGCAGGGGAGGAGGTGAGGCAGGGGAGAGACCGGAGAGAGAGAGACCAGCGAGAGAGAGACCAGCGAGAGAGAGAGACCAGCGAGAGAGAGACCAGCGAGAGAGAGACCAGCGAGAGAGAGACCAGCGAGAGAGAGACCAGCGAGAGAGAGACCAGCGAGAGAGAGACCAGAGAGAGAGAGACCAGAGAGAGAGAGACCAGCGAGAGAGAGACCAGCGAGAGAGAGACCAGCGAGAGAGAGACCAGCGAGAGAGAGAGACCAGCGAGAGAGAGAGACCAGAGAGAGAGACCAGCGAGAGAGACCAGCGAGAGAGAGAGACCAGAGAGAGAGAGACCAGCGAGAGAGAGAGACCAGCGAGAGAGAGAGACCAGAGAGAGAGAGACCAGCGAGAGAGACCAGCGAGAGAGAGAGACCAGAGAGAGAGAGACCAGCGAGAGAGAGACCAGTGTGTGTGTTGCAGGTTGTGGGTGTGTCTGATGAAGGTACCATCACTGAGCAGCAGAGTTACGCCGCCTCCAGACTCCGCCTCCTGTTCGACAAACTGGAATATAAGAGACAAGCACTGGGCTCCATCCAGAACGCACCCAGGCCAGACAAGAAGGTACTCACAGCAGGAGGGTCCTCACAGCAGGGGGGTCCTCACAGCAGGGGGGTCCTCACAGCAAGGGGGTCCTCAAAGCAGGAGGGTCCTCACAGCAGGGGGGTCCTCACAGCAGGAGGGTCCTCAAAGCAGGAGGGTCCTCACAGCAGGGGGGTCCTCACAGCAGGAGGGTCCTCACAGCAGGAGGGTCCTCACAGCAGGAGGGTCCTCACAGCAGGGGGGTCCTCACAGCAGGAGGGTCCGTACAGCAGGGGGTCCGTACAGCAGGAGGGTCCTCACAGCAGGGGGGTCCTCACAGCAGGAGGGTCCGTACAGCAGGGGGTCCGTACAGCAGGAGGGTCCGTACAGCAGGGGGTCCTCACAGCAGGGGGGTCCTCACAGCAGGAGGGTCCTCACAGCAGGGGGGTCCTCACAGCAGGGGGGAAGGTACCTCACACCAGCAGAGGAAAGCTGAGAGAGCTGTTTGAATTGGAGACCAGAGAGGGAGAGACCAGAGAGAGAGACCCCCCCACAGGAGCCAAACTAAAGTAGAGGCGTTTGTTTCAGATCGTGTCCAAACTGAAGGAGGAGATCGGGGCCATGGAGAAGGAGCACAGTGAGCTGCAGCAGCACATCAGCCGCACAGACTGGTGGTGCGAGAACCTGGGACACTGGAGAGCTACCATCACTGCTGCGGAGGTGAGGAGGGGGTTTCTACAGTCTAGTCTCTCTCTCTGGTCTCTCTTTCTGGTCTCTCTCTGGTCTCAGATGGTCCAGTTAGATCCTGGTCTTTGATCTCACGTGTGCAGCAACGTAAAGTTCCCTTTAAAGACCTTATGCCGGGGTTTAAAAAAAAAAATGTGTGGATATCAAAATTGCATGTCAATGTCGATCTGAAAGAGATTCCGGCAAAAAAAATCCTATATTTTATAAAAAGAAGGTGTTTTTCATGATTTTAAGTTGTCTATGCTCTAACCTGTGTGTGACGTCACAGCGGGTTACGCCCATGCATTGAAAACCATGGATCTATGCCACAGGACTGCCTTTTCTCTCTTCTCTCCACTGATGCCCAACACAATACTGCCCTCTACAGGTGACAACTGCTCACTACACATAAATTGCCGTTTTGAGAGTGAAAATATGTCTAAGGTGGGATTTGAACCCCAGTATCTGGATTGACAGTCCATCGACACAACCACTGGACTATCTCAGTGACAACAAAGAGTTATAATCTAGTATTAATCTCAGACTCGCTGTACACGGCCTTGTCATCTTGAATATCCGCGAAAAAAGAACGAATACCAAACAACTTACAGCGTTGAAACGTACCCACTCTGACGTCACCAAGGGCTGTGAAGTTTTTTCGTCTCTAAGGGCGTTGCTATGGGGTTATAGACCAAAAAAACAACAACTGATTTTGAAACCTTTAGTAGTTCTCTTCTAACATAAAATGGTATTAATGTATTTCTAAATAAATCAAACCCGGCATAAGGTCTTTAAACATCAAATTCTCCACATTCTTCAACTGGAGTCGAGGTTCTGACCTACTCTACTCTACTCTACTCTACTCTACTCTACTCTACTCTACTCTACTCTACTCTACTCTACCCTACCCTACCCTACCCTACTCTACTCTACTCTACTCTACCCTACTCTACCCTACTCTACCCTACTCTACCCTACTCTACCCTACCCTACTCTACTCTACCCTACTCTACCCTACCCTACTCTACCCTACTCTACTCTACCCTACTCTACCCTACTCTACCCTACCCTACTCTACTCTACCCTACCCTACCCTACCCTACCCTACCCTACCCTACTCTACTCTACTCTACTCTACTCTACCCTACTCTACTCTACTCTACTCTACTCTACTCTACTCTACCCTACTCTACTCTACCCTACTCTACTCTACCCTACTCTACCCTACCCTACCCTACCCTACCCTACCCTCCTCTCTGTGCTCTGGGTGCAGACGGCGGAGGAGGCTGGTGAGACTGTGGCCTGTTACTGTGTCTGTGTGAGTCTGACTGAAGGAGATGAGACCAACAGTCGCTGGAGCGTCCAGAGGAAACTCACTGAGTTCCAGATCCTGCACCGCAAACTCACTGAGGTAAAGGACCAGAGGAGGTCTGGACCAGAGGAGGTCTGGACCAGAGGAGGTCTGGACCAGAGGAGGTCTGGACCAGAGGAGGTCTGGACCAGAGCAGCTGTTAGAGCAGACATGGGCCAGAATCATTCTTAAGCAATTTCCAAGTCTGTGACCTCCTGTTACTTACGTGGCAATAAAAATGATTCTGATTAAATAAAACGCATACTTCTTTTTATAGCCACAGTACCAGCAGCAGTAGCAGCAGCAGTACCAGCAGCAGTAGCACCAGTAGCAGTAGCAGCAGCAGTAGTACCAGTAGTACCAGCAGCAGCAGTAGTACCACCAGCAGTACAAGCAGCAGCAGTACCAGCAGCAGCAGTACCAGCAGCAGCAGTAGTATCAGTACCAGCAGCAGTACCAGCAGCAGCAGTAGTATCAGTACCAGCAGCAGTAGTACCAGCAGCAGTAGTACCACCAGCAGCAGCAGTACCAGCAGCAGCAGCAGTACCAGCAGCAGCAGTACCAGCAGCAGCAGCAGTACCAGCAGCAGCAGCAGTACCAGCAGCAGCAGCAGTACCAGCAGCAGCAGCAGTACCAGCAGCAGCAGTACCAGCAGCAGCAGCAGTACCAGCAGCAGCAGCAGTACCAGCTCATGACTCAGTGCTTGTTCTCTTCCAGTGCTTTCCGTCATTGAAGAAACTGCAGCTTCCGTCTTTGAGCAAACTCCCGTTTAAATCCATCGACCAAAAGTTTCTGGAGAAGAGCAAAACACAGCTCAACGCCTTTCTACAGGTGTGTGTGTGTGTGTGTCTGTGTGTGTGTCTGTGTGTGTGTGTGTGTGTGTGTGTCTGTGTGTGTGTGTGTGTGTGTGTGTGTCTGTGTGTGTGTGTGTGTGTGTGTGTGTGTGTCTGTGTCTGTGTGTGTGTGTGTGTCTGTGTGTGTGTGTGTGTGTGTGTGTGTGTGTGTGTGTGTGTGTGTGTGTCTGTCTGTGTGTGTGTGTCTGTGTGTGTGTGTGTGTGTGTCTGTGTGTCTGTGTCTGTGTGAGTGTGTCTGTGTGTGTGTGTCTGTGTCTGTGTCTGTGTGAGTGTGTGTGTGTCTGTGTGTGTGTGTGTGTGTGTGTCTGTGTGTGTGTGTGTGTGTGTGTGTCTGTCTGTGTGTGTGTGTCTGTGTGGGTTTGTAACCGATTGTGTGTGTGTTTGTAACTGATTGTGTGCTTGTTCTAGCGTCTTCTGACTGATGAGCGTCTGTGTCAGTCTGAAGCGCTCTATGCTTTTCTGAGCCCATCTCCAGAGCACCTCAAGGTAACACACACACACACACACACACACACACAGAGCGTAACTCTGTAGGAGTTAAAGCTGGGGTCTGTAACTTTAAAACCACAATAGAACAGTAGTAAACCCATTTGTCTGGTCCTGGCATGGTCCTTCTCTCACATGGTCCTGGTGTCACTTGGTCCTGGTGTCACTTGGTCCTTGTGTCACATCAAATCAAATCAAATTTTATTTATAAAGCGCTTTTCATACAAAAGATGCAACACAAAGTGCTTTACAGTTTGGTTAAAAACAATCCCGCCGGCCCATGTCCCCTCCCCCCGACCACCCACCAGACCCATCCCAAACCACAGACAAACACACACACGCTCCCATGCACACTCTCTGACACACACACACACACACACACACACACACACACACACACACACACACACAAGTAAAACAGTAAAACAATGATGAGAGACTTGGCAGGGTTCGGATGCAACCAGCTGAAGAAGCGTCATCCTAGGAGCCGTCTGCACCAGGAGCAGAGAGCCGCCTGTAGCCACAGGGGACGACACAGGATCTAGAGGAGACCCGAAACCGAGGCCCCAGGCCCCCACCAGGCCCAAGAGTCCGACCCCCACAGCCATGCCGACCACCGCTCCCAGTGCAGAGGGCTCCTATGGTCCTTGTCTCACATGGTCCTTCTGTCGCAGGTCATGTCCATCCAGAAGAAGTCGTCCTTTTCTCTGGCCTCGTTCCTGGAGAAGTTTCCTGGAGACTTCTTCTCTCATCCTGATGTAAGAACCTCCTGCTGCTCATATGACCTCTGCTTTAATCTGCTTTAATCTGCTTCAATCTGCTTCACTCTGCTTCAATCTGCTTCAATCTGCTTCAATCTGCTTCAATCTGCTTCACTCTGCTTCAATCTGCTTCACTCTGCTTCAATCTGCTTCACTCTGCTTCAATCTGCTTCAATCTGCTTCAATCTGCTTTAATCTGCTTCAATCTGCTTTAATCTGCTTTAATCTGCTTTAATCTGCTTCAATCTGCTTCAATCTGCTTCAATCTGCTTCAATCTGCTTCAATCTGCTTCACTCTGCTTCACTCTGCTTCAATCTGCTTCAATCTGCTTCAATCTGCTTCAATCTGCATCAATCTGCTTCAATCTGCTTCAATCTGCTTCAATCTGCTTCAATCTGCTTCAATCTGCATCACTCTGCATCACTCTGCTTCAATCTGCTTCACTCTGCTTCACTCTGCTTCACTCTGCTTCAATCTGCTTCACTCTGCTTCACTCTGCTTCAATCTGCTTCAATCTGCTTCACTCTGCATCAATCTGCTTCACTCTGCTTCAATCTGCTTCACTCTGCTTCAATCTGCATCAATCTGCTTCACTCTGCATCAATCTGCTTCACTCTGCTTCAATCTGCTTCACTCTGCATCAATCTGCTTCACTCTGCTTCAATCTGCTTCACTCTGCTTCACTCTGCTTCACTCTGCTTCACTCTGCTTCAATCTGCTTCAATCTGCTTCAATCTGCATCAATCTGCTTCACTCTGCATCAATCTGCTTCACTCTGCATCAATCTGCATCAATCTGCTTCAATCTGCTTCAATCTGCTTCACTCTGCTTCAATCTGCTTCAATCTGCTTCAATCTGCTTCACTCTGCTTCACTCTGCATCAATCTGCTTCACTCTGCATCAATCTGCTTCACTCTGCTTCAATCTGCTTCACTCTGCTTCAATCTGCATCAATCTGCTTCAATCTGCTTCACTCTGCTTCAATCTGCATCAATCTGCTTCACTCTGCATCAATCTGCTTCACTCTGCATCAATCTGCTTCACTCTGCATCAATCTGCTTCACTCTGCATCAATCTGCTTCACTCTGCTTCACTCTGCATCAATCTGCTTCACTCTACTTCAATCTGCATCAATCTGCTTCACTCTGCTTCAATCTGCTTCACTCTGCATCAATCTGCTTCACTCTGCATCAATCTGCTTCAATCTGCTTCAATCTGCTTCAATCTGCTTCACTCTGCTTCACTCTGCTTCACTCTGCTTCAATCTGCTTCAATCTGCTTCACTCTGCATCAATCTGCTTCACTCTGCTTCAATCTGCTTCACTCTGCTTCAATCTGCATCAATCTGCTTCAATCTGCTTCACTCTGCTTCAATCTGCATCAATCTGCTTCACTCTGCATCAATCTGCTTCACTCTGCATCAATCTGCTTCACTCTGCATCAATCTGCTTCACTCTGCATCAATCTGCTTCACTCTGCTTCAATCTGCATCAATCTGCTTCACTCTGCTTCAATCTGCTTCAATCTGCTTCAATCTGCTTCACTCTGCTTCAATCTGCTTCAATCTGCTTCAATCTGCTTCAATCTGCTTCACTCTGCTTCACTCTGCTTCAATCTGCTTCAATCTGCTTCACTCTGCTTCAATCTGCTTCAATCTGCTTCACTCTGCTTCAATCTGCTTCAATCTGCTTCAATCTGCTTCACTCTGCTTCACTCTGCTTCACTCTGCTTCAATCTGCTGGACTGATGTGTGTCTGTGTGTGCGTCTCTCTGTGTGTCTCTCTCTCTGTGTGTCTGTGTGTGTCTCTCTCTCTCTGTGTCTCTCTCTCTGTGTGTGTGTCTGTGTGTGTGTGTCTCTCTCTGTCTCTGTGTGTGTGTGTCTCTCTGTGTGTGTCTGTGTGTGTCTCTCTGTGTGTGTCTCTGTGTGTGTCTCTCTGTGTGTCTCTCTCTCTGTGTGTGTGTCTCTCTGTGTGTGTCTGTGTGTGTCTCTCTGTGTGTGTCTCTCTGTGTGTGTCTCTCTGTGTGTGTCTCTCTCTGTGTGTCTCTCTCTGTGTGTCTCTCTCTCTGTGTGTGTGTGTCTGTGTGTCTCTCTCTCTGTGTGTGTGTGTCTGTGTCTCTCTGTGTGTGTCTCTCTCTGTGTGTGTGTGTCTCTGTGTGTGTGTGTGTGTGTCTCTGTGTGTGTGTGTGTTGCAGGAGGACGGTGATGATGACAGTGACCTCTCTGATGAAGGAGATGAGGTTGATGGTCGCAGAGATGCTTTGGCTGAGCCCTGCTTCACTCTCATCGGAGAAATCTTTGAACTCAGAGGAAGTGAGTTTAACCATCAGTATACAGGCGCAGTATACAGGCGCAGTATACAGGCGCAGTATACAGGCGCAGTATACAGGCGCAGTATACAGGCGCAGTATACAGGCGCGGTATACAGGCGCGGTATACAGGCGCAGTATACAGGCGCAGTATACAGGTGCGGTATACAGGCGCGGTATACAGGCGCTGTATACAGGTGCGGTATACAGGCGCGGTATACAGGCGCTGTATACAGGCGCAGTATACAGGCGCAGTATACAGGCGCAGTATACAGGCGCGGTATACAGGCGCAGTATACAGGCGCGGTATACAGGCGCAGTATACAGGCGCAGTATACAGGCGCGGTATAGAGGCGCAGTATACAGGCGCGGTATACAGGCGCGGTATACAGGCGCAGTATACAGGCGCGGTATACAGGCGCAGTATACAGGCGCGGTATAGAGGCGCAGTATACAGGCGCGGTATACAGGCGCAGTATACAGGCGCAGTATACAGGCGCAGTATACAGGCGCAGTATACAGGCGCAGTATACAGGCGCGGTATACAGGCGCGGTATACAGGCGCGGTATACAGGCGCTGTATACAGGCGCAGTATACAGGCGCAGTATCCAGGCGCAGTATACAGGCGCGGTATACAGGCGCAGTATACAGGCGCAGTATACAGGCGCGGTATACAGGCGCAGTATACAGGCGCGGTATACAGGCGCGGTATACAGGCGCAGTATACAGGCGCGGTATACAGGCGCGGTATACAGGCGCAGTATACAGGTGCGGTATAGAGGCGCAGTATACAGGCGCGGTATACAGGCGCGGTATACAGGCGCAGTATACAGGCGCGGTATACAGGCGCAGTATACAGGCGCAGTATTCAGGCGCGGTATAGAGGCGCAGTATACAGGCGCGGTATACAGGCGCAGTATACATGCGCAGTATACAGGCGCAGTATACAGGCGCGGTATACAGGCGCGGTATACAGGCGCGGTATACAGGCGCAGTATACAGGCGCGGTATACAGGCGCGGTATACAGGCGCAGTATACAGGCGCGGTATACAGGCGCACCGGTATAGGGACGCACTAGCATACTCGTGCGCACTCTCTGGTCTCTCTCGGTCTCTCTCTCTGGTGTCTGGTGTCTCTCTGGTCTCTCCTGGTCTCTCTCTGGTGTCTCTCTGGTCTCTCCTGGTCTCTCTCTGGTGTCTCTCTGGTCTCTCTCTCTGGTCTCTTTCTGGTCCCTCTCTGGTCTCTCTCTGGTCTCTCTCTGGCCTCTTTCTCTGGTCTCTCTGGCCTCTTTCTCTGGTCTCTCTCTGGTCTCTCTCTCTGGTGTCTGGTGTCTCTCTCACTGGTCTCTTTCTGGTCCCTCTCTGGTCTCTCTCTGGCCTCTTTCTCTGGTGTCTCTCTGGTCGCTCTCTCTGGTCTCTCTCTCTCTGGTCGCTCTCTCTGGTCTCTCTAGTCTCTCTGGTCGCTCTCTCTGGTCTCTCTAGTCTCTCTGGTCTCTCTGGTCTCTCTGGTCTCTCTCTGGTCTCTCTCTCTGGTCTCTCTCTCTGGTCTCTCTCTCTCTGGTCTCTCTGGTCTCTCTCTCTGGTCTCTCTCTCTCTGGTCTCTCTCTGGTCTCTCTGGTCTCTCTCTCTCTGGTCTCTCTGGTCTCTCTGGTCTCTCTCTCTGGTCTCTCTCTCTCTGGTCTCTCTCTCTGGTCTCCAGTTTAACCCTGTCCTGTCTCTGGTCTGCAGTGTTCAAGTGGGTGAGGAAGACTCTTATTGCACTAGTCCAGGTGACGTTTGGACGCACCATAAACAAGTAAGTACACACCTGCAGTTGTGTTTGGATCCATCCACGCTGATACCAGGAAGCACAAACACGTAGCGCCGCCCCTTCTGTCAGCTCCCCCTGGTGTTCGCGTAGGAAGGCTTTTTATTACCCTCTCTCTGGTCTCTCTCTCTCTGGTCTCTTTGGGCTCTCTCTGATCTCTCTCTGGATTTTTTATCTGGTCTCTCTCACCTAATTCCTGGTCTCTCTCACCTGGGCCCTGTCCTCTCTGGTCTCTCTCACCTGGGCCCTGTCCTCTCTGGTCTCTCTCACCTGGGCCCTGTCCTCTCTGGTCTCTCTCACCTGGGCCCTGTCCTCTCTGGTCTCTCTCACCTGGACCCTGTCTCCTCTGGTCTCTCACCTGGCCCCTGTCCTCTCTGGTCTCTCTCACCTGGACCCTGTCTTCCCTGGTCTCTCACCTGGCCGCTGTGCTCTCGGGTCTCTCTCACCTGGTCCCTGTGCTCTCTGGTCTTTCTCACCTGGTCCCTGGTCTTTCTGGTCTCTCTCACCTGGCCCCTGTCCTCTCTGGTCTCTTTCAGCTGGTCCCTGGTTTTTCTGGTCTCTCTCACCTGGTCCCTGGTCTCTCTGGTCTCTCACCTGGTCTCTCAGACTGATCCGGAACACTCTGTCCTGGATCTTCTCGGAGCAGATGCTGATCTCTTCTGTCTCCTCTGGTCCCTGAGGTCTTTCTCTAAACTGGTCCCTGGTCTCTCACCTGGTCTCTCACCTGGTCTCTCTGGTCTATCTCTCAGACAGATCCGGGACACTCTGACCTGGATCTTCTCGGAGCAGATGCTGGTCTGTTACGTGTCCGTGTTCAGAGACGCCTTTTGGCCGAACGGAAAACTGGCTCCGACCCTGAAGCTGAGGAGCGAGTCCGAGAGGAGAGAGACCAGGGAGAGAGCCCAGAGGAAGCTCCTGGACAATATACCAGGTAACACTCACACCTGGTACCACAGTCTGAGAGGAGAGAGACCAGGGAGAGAGCCCAGAGGAAGCTCCTGGACAATATACCAGGTAACACTCACACCTGGTACCACAGTCTGAGAGGAGAGAGACCAGGGAGAGAGCCCAGAGGAAGCTCCTGGACAATATACCAGGTAACACTCACACCTGGTACCACAGTCTGAGAGGAGAGAGACCAGGGAGAGAGCCCAGAGGAAGCTCCTGGACAATATACCAGGTAACACTCACACCTGGTACCACAGTCTGAGAGGAGAGAGACCAGGGAGAGAGCCCAGAGGAAGCTCCTGGACAATATACCAGGTAACACTCACACCTGGTACCACAGTCTGAGAGGAGAGAGACCAGGGAGAGAGCCCAGAGGAAGCTCCTGGACAATATACCAGGTAACACTCACACCTGGTACCACAGTCTGAGAGGAGAGAGACCAGGGAGAGAGCTCAGAGGAAGCTCCTGGACAATATACCAGGTAACACTCACACCTGGTACCACAGTCTGAGAGGAGAGAGACCAGGGAGAGAGCCCAGAGGAAGCTCCTGGACAATATACCAGGCAACACTCACACCTGGTACCACAGTCTGAGAGGAGAGAGACCAGGGAGAGAGCCCAGAGGAAGCTCCTGGACAATATACCAGGTAACACTCACACCTGGTACCACAGTCTGAGAGGAGAGAGACCAGGGAGAGAGCCCAGAGGAAGCTCCTGGACAATATACCAGGTAACACTCACACCTGGTACCACAGTCTGAGAGGAGAGAGACCAGGGAGAGAGCCCAGAGGAAGCTCCTGGACAATATACCAGGTAACACTCACACCTGGTACCACAGTCTGAGAGGAGAGAGACCAGGGAGAGAGCCCAGAGGAAGCTCCTGGACAATATACCAGGTAACACTCACACCTGGTACCACAGTCTGAGAGGAGAGAGAGACCAGGGAGAGAGCTCAGAGGAAGCTCCTGGACAATATACCAGGTAACACTCACACCTGGTACCACAGTCTGAGAGGAGAGAGACCAGGGAGAGAGCCCAGAGGAAGCTCCTGGACAATATACCAGGTAACACTCACACCTGGTACCACCAGTCTGAGAGGAGAGAGACCAGGGAGAGAGCCCAGAGGAAGCTCCTGGACAATATACCAGGTAACACTCACACCTGGTACCACAGTCTGAGAGGAGAGAGACCAGGGAGAGAGCCCAGAGGAAGCTCCTGGACAATATACCAGGTAACACTCACACCTGGTACCACAGTCTGAGAGGAGAGAGACCAGGGAGAGAGCCCAGAGGAAGCTCCTGGACAATATACCAGGTAACACTCACACCTGGTACCACAGTCTGAGAGGAGAGAGACCAGGGAGAGAGCCCAGAGGAAGCTCCTGGACAATATACCAGGTAACACTCACACCTGGTACCACAGTCTGAGAGGAGAGAGACCAGGGAGAGAGCCAGAGGAAGCTCCTGGACAATATACCAGGTAACACTCACACCTGGTACCACAGTCTGAGAGGAGAGAGACCAGGGAGAGAGCTAAGGAAGCCCTGGACTAAAACAGGTACTAAACACGACTAAACACGACTGGTAAGAGGAGAGAGACCAGGGACTAAACACGGTACTAAAGAGAGACACAGAGAGCCCAGAGGAAGCTCCTAAAATATACCAGGTAACACTCACACCTGGTACCACAGTCTGAGAGGAGAGGTTAAACCAGACTAAACCAGACTAGAACAGACTAGAACAGACTAAGCCAGACTAAGCCAGACTAAACCAGACTAGGCCAGACTAGAACAGACTAAACCAGACTAAACCAGACTAAACCAGACTAAAACAGACTAAACACAGACTAAAACCAGACTAAACCAGACTAGAACAGACTAGAACAGACTAAGCCAGACTAAGCCAGACTAAGCCAGACTAAGCCAGACTAAGCCAGACTAGAACAGACTAGAACAGACTAGAACAGACTAGAACAGACTAGAACAGACTAAGCCAGACTAAGCCAGACTAGGCCAGACTAGGCCAGACTAAACCAGACTAAACCCGACTAAACCCGACTAAACCCGACTAAACCCGACTAAACACGACTAAACACGACTAAACACGACTAAACACGACTAGAACAGACTAGGCCAGACTAGGCCAGACTAAACCAGACTAAACCAGACTAAACCAGACTAAACCTGACTAAACCTGACTAAACCTGACTAAACCTGACTAAACCTGACTAGAACAGACTAAACCAGACTAGAACAGACTAGAACAGACTAGAACAGACTAAGCCAGACTAAACCAGACTAGGCCAGACTAGGCCAGACTAGGCCAGACTAAACCAGACTAAACCAGACTAAACCAGACTAAGCCAGACTAAACCAGACTAAAAACGACTAAACACGACTAAACCAGACTAGAACAGACTAAACAGACTAGAACAGACTAAGCCAGACTAAACCAGACTAGGCCAGACTAGGCCAGACTAAACCAGACTAAACCAGGCTAAACCAGGCTAAACCAGACTAAACCAGACTAAAACAGACTAAACACGACTAAACACGACTAAACACGACTAAACACAACTAAACACAACTAAACCAGACTAAACCAGACTAGAACAGACTAGAACAGACTAAGCCAGACTAAGCCAGACTAAACCAGACTAGGCCAGACTAGGCCAGACTAAACCAGGCTAAACCAGACTAAACCAGACTAAAACAGACTAAACACGACTAAACACAACTAAACCAGACTAAACCAGACTAGAACAGACTAGAACAGACTAAGCCAGACTAAGCCAGACTAAGCCAGACTAAGCCAGACTAAGCCAGACTAGAACAGACTAGAACAGACTAGAACAGACTAGAACAGACTAGAACAGACTAGAACAGACTAAGCCAGACTAAGCCAGACTAGGCCAGACTAGGCCAGACTAGGCCAGACTAAACCAGACTAAACCAGACTAAACCCGACTAAACCCGACTAAACACGACTAAACACGACTAAACACGACTAAACACGACTAAACACGACTAGAACAGACTAGGCCAGACTAAACCAGACTAAAACAGACTAAACCAGGCCCTGTGGATGGGAAGTATATTTCTAAATATGTGATGCGATCTGGGAAAACCTAGCCTGGCCTTTGCCATCCGTAAACTCCGGTCAAATCTTTTTTTCCCGGGATGTACGTCTGGGTTTGCTCCCACTGGCTGCGATTCAATCGGTAGAATTTCATCCTACCATTCAGCGAGCGGGGGAGGCGGGTGTTGTAGGTGACGTCAAGCATTTGCGCCGGTTGTAGTCACTGTAGTTTGGCAATGGCGGCATATGCGAAAATAAACGAAGCTCTTCAATCCATTCTGGCTTTGCTCCCAAATATCCAGAAATTGAAGTCGGAGCAAGAGAAATGTTTAGCAAATTTCAATGCTGGTAAAGATGTCATGGCTTTACTCCCCACGGGATTCGGCAAAAGCCTTATTTTCCAGTTAGCTCCGTTAGTGGTGAAGGAGATGGCTAGGCTGAATGCTAGTGAAGCTAATCCTATCGTTGTAGTCGTTTCCCCTCTTTTGGCTTTAATGGAGGATCAAGTCAAGGAGGCTGAGAAGTTGGGAGTTAGTGCTGGACAGCTCGATGTGCACGACGATCGTGACATTTTGGAAGGACATTTCAGCCTGGTATTTGGGAGCCCTGAGTCTTGGCTACTCAACTCCAAATGGCGACGAATGCTAACCTCGTCTGTTTACCAAGACAACATCATTGGCATCGTCGTTGATGAAGTCCATGTTACATATAAATGGTAAGTGAACTTTAAAACAGCAGAAATTAGGCTTTTTTGCATACTCAATCGGGTAGACTATTGTTGCTTGATGACAATTTTGCATTCCGTTTCTTTTGTCTCAGGGGTGAAGCGTCCAAAGGCGAGTCACCATTCCGAGAGAGTTTTTCTAAACTTGGTGAGCTGAGATCCATCATGAAGGAAGGTGGGTTGAATGTTTTCTGTGTTGTTCCTGCTTGACATGTTAACAAATCCGTGCCCTGGATTCAGTGCATTGTTGTTAAGAGTAACGTTAGTACACACTCGACTGTACAGTACTAAACGTACTGTGCATTCAGTAAAAGGAAGTTAAAAACATGCAGTAAGAGACATGAAAAATGCTACAATCTTATAGTTCCAGAAAAAGATCAAACTGGTAAGAATAACCACTATGTAGCCAACTCTCAGCCCCCGGCAACCCCACTGTGCAAGTGTAGTTTTCAGTTTATACATGTTTTTTATAGGTAGATTCTAAGGGACATTTATTTTACAATTATGATTTCTTTTTTTAAGAGTTGTTGTAGCGAGTACATTTCTCCATTGTGAGAACAATAAAGTGTTATCTTAAGTCAGACACCACAGTACATGCATTGCAGCTAGTGTTATAGAGCAAGACAGGCAGAAGAACCACACACAAATACACACTGTCATCAATACATGTCATATTAGTAATACTGTTAATGTAAATGTGGGTGATATATTTTAATTTTGTAAATTTGTCTGACAGGTACACCTTTCTTGGCGTCGACTGCCTCTGCTGACATCAAATCCAAAAACCGAGTCACTAGACTACTTCATATGGACAGTGCCGTTCACATCATCGCTAGCCCTAACAAGACCAACATCCGTCTTGGATTGCGCAAGGTGCCCAGCAATGAACTGAACTGCTTAGACTGGATTGTGCAACATGTAAAGGACAAGGGCTCAACCATGCAGCCTGTACTTATTTACTGTCAAAAAATGACAACAGTGAGGAGGGTCTTTTCTTACTTCAAGGGGGAACTGCAACAGTACGCCTGGGTAGACTGTGATCAAGAGCATAAACGTGAGAAACCTCCTGATAGGTATGTTTCACAGCAAGTCCCTCCCCCAAAACAAGGACAGAGTGTTGGCTTCACTGAGGGGGCAAGGGAATTGCTGTGTAGTAGTTGCAACAACAGCTTTGGGAATGGGCCTGAATTTCCCTAATGTTTCACTTGTGGTGATGTATGGTGTTCCAGGGGACCTAGAGTCCATAATACAACAGGTGGGGAGGGCTGGAAGAAATGGTCAGCCAGCTCATGGCA